CATACTGCGTGCTTCAGTTCTGCGATTTGACTACCTGTATCCTGGCTGAATAAAACCACCCACGCTCGTTAGATTTTTCAGGTATTTTTCACGTGCTCTTGCGTTGCGATCGCATTTCAACCTGCGCATGTAACTTATCTCTTTTGCTCGAACATTTTCTCTGCTCCCCTGCTACTCCTCCACTATACACCCGCCTATCCATCCCTCCAGTACTATCCGCCCCAACAATGTCCCGCCGATGTGTCCGTCCCATGCTATAATGCCCTCCACGACCCTCCCATCAGACTCAGAATCGGTCCCGCGTCAACAACCCACAATCCAAAAGATACTTACATCGTGTACTGTACTGTAGTGCCGTACGTGTACTTAGAGCACTCAACTTGCTCGCTCCTCATCATCTCTCTCCGTTCATCTTGGCTCTGATAATGGCTAATGATTACATTGATCATTCACTGCAGCGTAGTGGCACGAGTACCTGTACGCAGGCAACGACAGGAGGCATCGGAAGAGCGAGAAGAGGTATATCAATAGCTTTCAACTGGCGATGGAACGTGTCTCTGCGTCGTCGTTCGGGCGAACTGGGATATCATGCGAGCGTTAGGCCCTGTTCGGCAACCGAATTTCCGAGTCCATTCGGCCGGAAGGCCAGCTTTCCGGCATCTGTTCGTGGTGATTTGGCTGGTGGGAAGCGGCGACTGATGCCGGAAAGACGGCAGAAAGCAGCTTTCCGCGCGGTAATTCGGTTGCCGAACGGGGCCTTATATGTATAATCACCCCGAGTCGCCCAGCGAAAGATGGCTGTCCCAACCCCACGCGAACGTTCAATACCAATCATTGTTTAGTGACCTACACCGACAGAAGTCAGTTTCCAAGTAAAGAGCAATTGTAGAAGCATCACTCACTGAGTCAGGTTGTTGAGGGAGTGTTATCATCCAGATGCCGTTTTTGTACAACGGCCAAGCTGATGACATCCCAGACTTGCGCATGCTCAGTCTCTTGGGTCCGGAGCAGCACACCACGGGCACGTCTACGATCGAATGGAGAAAGCTGCTGGATGCCGGAGAGATCCACGGGGTCTGTAGACACGAAAGCTCTAATGAAACCGACTCCTACTTTATCTCCCGGTCGCAGGTAAGGTGTGAACGCTCTCCCTTCGTCCCGACCTTGCCCAATCGACAGCTTACCGCCAATGCCAGGTAGTGAAGGCTGACCATGGCAGCCCCATATCGGAGGCCTATAGAGCTCCGCTAGGATTGATCAGCGTAGTCACGCCTGGCAGTAAACATTCGCTTACTGATGGAAAGATCATTACAATCGTAGTAGAACACCCATACGTGAAGGGGCAGCTGGAACTGGTTCTCTAGAAAGAGTCCGAAACGTTCCCCTTCATCACGTATAACCAAGACACTCTCTGAGTAGTGGAAAGTGTGCTGGATGGCATTGTTGTGGGGTGTATTCGTAGTGGCCTGTAGTTGAATTCCAGTACTGAGAGCGTGAACGTGCATTCGGACGTGTGCCTTCAAGGCGGATGTCGGCGGTGAGCGACGCATACTGAGGAGAAAGTGGCGGGCGGCACGTAGTACGCGGAGGACTTGGGGGGAATCGGATATGGTCGTCTGAGGCAGACGATGCAAACCGTTCGCCATGATATCGGGGTCGCAGATGAAGTACTCGGTTGTGCCGTCGCGCTCTCGCACAGTCAAGTCCGATTCCTGTTCATCTACCCATTGCATGTCCAGAGTCGCGGTAGACAACGCTTTCATAATGTCGGATGCGCTCGAACTCATGGAGTTCGAAGATACGTGCACGCGCAGCTGACTATTCGAACCCGTCGGTGTGGGCCCCGCGGGCCTTGCGGAGAAAGGCATGGCCTGATGGTAGACCGATGTAAGTCCAAACGAAAAGTCCGGGATCGGGCTAAGTGCAGTCCTGAAAGGCTCGACAGATGTTGCGATCAAATATGTCAGGGGCTTATCGTCGGGGTCGATATCGGAAGACGGGTAGAGAGAGAAATGAGAGCCAAGTGCGATTCCGTGCACGGAGCCTGCTTCCATAGTATACGTGTCAGACCTCTCGATAACGCGATGGGTATCGGAGTTGTGGCCTGCAGTGCGGGTGCTGAAGAGTATACGATCTGAGTGACGGCCCTCGCATCTGGGCATCTGGCTTTGAGAAGACGACATTGAGTGAAACGAGTTGGTGAAGTTTTTTTCAAGGGACGTACTCATCATTGGCCGGGATGCAACTGACCAAATCTTGGTACGTGGTTGTACCGAGCCTTGGACCGAGCCTGCGTAAGGCCTCGAGAAGGTGCCGGGTGAACCACCCCCGACCATCCTTCTCATACGCCCTCCCGCCTACTTGATTGGCACAAAGTGTAACGTAAGGACTGGAGATGAACCCAGGAGATGATTTATTAGTATCTCGTGTGGATTCACGCTCGAAGGTATAAGCTAGGCAACAGTCCAGAATCAGAGTCTAAAAAGAGGAGTTAAAATCGCCGTAGCCATGTGCGAAGGGGTGCCTACGATATTGTCCCCTAGACCATTACTGTTGAGTCGATTGACAGCGGCATTCAATATCTGACCAAGAGTCTGAGTTGAGATGCGAGTCAACTCCATACTGCCCCCGTTGTCATGAAGGGCATCGTGTGGGACGACTGTCGTGATGTGCTTCAGCCCCAACCATGGATCCGGAACTGCTTCGGTGGCACCGTGCCCAGAGAAATAGACGACAATTGGGTCTCCATTGCGGAGGGTCTTGAGCTCGCACAACGCCCTCAGATGCCGGAGAATCGCGCCTTTTGTCGCCATCTCATTGCGCAGCATGATAATCTGAGACTGTGCAACGCCCAAGTCATTGAGCAAGTATTCAGCTACGGCATCTGCATCAGCGACGGCGCCCGTGAGGGGTTCAACTCCGTCCTCTTCATAGCTATCGATGCCGATAATGAGCGCATGAATATGCGAGTAGGAAGTCCTTTGTGTGCCAAGATCTGATGAGCATCTGGATGATCATGAGAACCACAGAAACTCACCGGTCGTTGGTTGGAAGATTATCATGATCACCCATGCTACTATGGGAGCTATGATGCACTAACGTCGCGTCCTTGGAAGGTATCGTGATCGGTGGCGCCAACCAACGGATAAAGCTCCCCATGATGAAGGACTTTGCATCCGGATGGCGCTCAAAGAGAATGCCCAAAGGACGAAAGATACGATGTGCCATGCTACGTATCTGTTCTTTGATATACAGCATACGCCCTCTAGACGCGGAATGTGGGAGGAAAACGAGACTTGTCTCCTCCTCAGACTGCATCCACCCTTCTTGCGTTTTCTGCAGGCAGGGTGGGGGAGATCCGCGAAGGCGACTCTCTAGATACGATCGAACACCGGTGAGCGGCTCGGAGATGATTCCCTACAGGCATATGAGTAAAGATAGGCAATGGGTAGATTGCTCATCGCACCGTTTCGTCAGGTTGTGGAAGGAAAGGTAGGAGCTCATCGTCATGTAGAAGTAGAATGTCATTTTCGCAAGATGGTGAGTATTCCTGTGTCATGTCACAGATGAATAACACGTGAATGCCAATCGTGACGAGCTCACATCGGCCACAACACGTAGTGCGAGGGGTAACAGACTGTCATCCTAGGGATCATGATGTTAGTGATATCGCGACAATGAACATGGCGCACTGACCATCTGGGAAGAGCCTTGAGTCTCTTCGATGAACTCCACGCTACCTGTGTCGTCAGAGCCAGCGCGCACTGACTGGGTTTCTTCAAGATCGCGATCGCGCGGCGGAAGAACGGAAGGTCCAGCAGCAGCTTTCAGAACGGCTGGAATACCCTTTACTGGCTTGTAACCTTGAACCCGCCGAATGAAGATGCACTGGTCGACCAAACTTGAAGAGGGGCCAGTAGGAGTGATTGCAGGAGAGGAACGCGGGGGGTCTGAAGGGTTGGGGTCGTCGGTGTTCTGCAATCGCGCTGCGCTTGGACTCTCCCGAGAAGATACGTGCCGCTCAGCCGCCCATGGCCCAGATAGAGAGTGGACGTCGGGACCAGCGCGCACATGAACCGAGGAAGATACGGAAACGCCGCCAACTGCCATGGGGACGTTGAGTCCAACGCTGCCACCTATAGAGCGTGTTTCTTTCCAGAACGTGATCCAGGCTAGCGTGTGCTCGCAGCCTGTCACCAAAACGAGATCTCCAATGACGAGTTCGCGACCCAGATTTGACACAAAACATAACCACGAGCGGTAGTGTTTACGAAAATAACGCTTGTAGTGTCCGATGTTCATGGCGCGTCTCTCCTCATGGCGATCAAAGTATACTAGAGCGGCCCCTCGCTCGTGATCGAATTCGAAGCTCGTCGAAGCGCCTCCGAGAACCCCCCTACATGCGCTGCTCAGCTTCGAGTGTATGGCAACATGACGTCTGAATGTACGCACAGATCAATACCGGCACTCAGTTGCGCGGTGACTTGACTGCCAGAACGTAGCAACTGCGGCTTCTCGAGAGGCCCCTGTATACGTAGGGATATCTGGTTATCGTCGCGAGGGAGGACTTCGAACCCTTCTGGAACTCCATATAGCTGTCTGTCGTCCCGCGATCGATGGATATTGAAGAGGAAGCAGAAGGCGCCGTCGATGATGTGGCCGACGTCGCCGATCTCGACACCAGAATTTGACTGCGAGGTGTCGATGATTGGCCCACGGCGCCCAGGATTGGGGTTAAAGAGCGCCAGTCCTCGTCCTTGGGACTCCATTTCTACTGCGTAGCATTTCGCCGCGCGTTGGGAGGCCATAGTAAACAGCGAGGGCTTTCTATGGACAGGACAAAGTCCGCACTTATAAGCTCCTAGGTCCCCCAGGCTTATATAGACATGGCTGTACAGACTCCCACAACTCCACATCGATAAGAAAAAGCATGGGAGTGTGCGCGGTGCTCTGCATAGCCTTTCCTGTCATAGCGCCCAGATGAAGACGCGCTGTGACGAGAAAGCCATCAGCATGGACGAGTTGAGACGGGCCGGCGAGAATGAATGGATGGCGATGTGAGATACTGATGTTCCGCTCAGATAGGTCATATACAACAAGCAATGTCCAACGCTCGCACAGGCCATGACCCAGATGGTGGCAAGAGCCAACCCGCGTCACCGCGGGCCGCGCCCAGTGCCGCCTGGCGACTTCAGCCTCATCGCCCTCTGTACCGGTAGCTCAGTACGTTCACTCATGAAATTGCATAAGATGATGATATCCTTTTTGAATAGCAGCGCTGCTCTCCGATGCTCTTGAGTGATCTTAGAGGCCGCCTCAATCTGAGTGCACTCGGAGATTGTTCAAAGTAGCTCATTGCCTGTAGAGCTAGTGCCCGGCGTTTACGCGCAATGAAGAGTGTGGCTTCAGATATCTGGACATGTACTCGCGAAGTATGATATAGGTCACTTGACCTCCGGTATGCAGGCGAGGCACATTGATGGGTGTATCTCGGCAGTTGTAGCGCGCCACGACTGACGCGCGCGACGAACCATCGGCGCGCAGCCGACATCTCTCCACCTCTTCTTCCTCCCTGCATCCAGCAGGTCACCTCTCACCTCTCGCATTTCACTCATCAACCCATCACTTGCACCTCTACAAAGGTAGTGCGCGTATGCAGACTGTAACTCGAGCTGCGGCTGACAATATGGGTATGATCAGGCGCGAGTATTACGGTAGATATTATTATCTAGCCGCCCAGGACATCTGAACCCGGTGCGTCACCGCCCGGTGCATTGAGCGCCCTGCACCCCGCCACTTTTCTATCTTCCACCACCACCACCCTTTCAACTCTCAGCTCCTACTTTATCATCTCAAGTCTGACCGGTACCGATCACTAGACCATCACACGACGCCAAATATGTCCGCACCAGCGCCCGCCGCCGCCTCAGCCTCCGCGATGCCAGAGGGCGTGACAGACCCGAACTGGAAGCCCGAGCCCGGACGTGTGGGCAATCTGAGCGTACCGCAGCAGCATGCGCTGGAGACGCTCAAGAAGGAGCTGCAGGCTGAGGACCGGTTCGTGCCGGAGAGGATGGACGACCCGACGCTGTTACGGTGAGTGCCAATTTGTGCATGTTGTAGACTTCGGGAGATAGCGATCGAGATAGAGGTTGCGATCTCGATCTCGTAGCCGGGTGGCGAGCGTGATTAAGAAGATGTTTAGTGGTGGACGGCGTGTGCTATGTCAATATCGAAGCATGTCAGAACGGGGAGATGATGGCGAGCAGATAGGCGCTGTGTCGCGAGGATGCTCATCTCGAGTGCCCGAGCTACTGCTCTCCGTTACATCCATGGATGCTGCATCGGACGCTTCGATACTGGTATACATGGCAGATGCTAACTCTGCCGTTTTAGATTCCTCCGTGCACGTAAATTCGATGTCCCCAAGGCCAAAGAGATGCTCATCGCCTGCGAAAACTGGAGGGTGGAGTTTGGCGTTGAGGAGCTTGCCAAGTACGTGCCTGTCGTACATGCACCATCTTAAAGGCGCTCCTTACACTCGCTGCAGAAACTTCGACTTCACAGAGAAGGCGGAAGTAGACAAGTACTATCCGCAGTATTACCACAAGATCGACAAGGTATTTCACAACACCTACATGAACCGTTGTAACTGGGCTAATTCGAAAGTCTATAGGATGGTCGCCCGATATACATCGAGGTCCTCGGCAAGCTCGACATCAAAGCCCTCTACGCCGTCACAACGCCCGAACGCCAACTGCAGCGCCTCGTGCACGAATACGAGCGTTCAATCCGCGACCGTCTCCCCGCCGCATCCAAGCAAGTCGGGCACCCCGTCGAGACGTTCTGCACGATCCTCGACCTCAAGAACGTCTCGATCTCGAACTTTTACCGCGTCAAGGACTACGTCGGCAAGGCGACGCAGATCGGACAGGACAGGTACCCCGAGGTCATGGGCAAGTTCTACATCATTAACGCCCCGTGGGGATTCTCGGCCGTATGGGGCATCGTGAAGGGCTGGCTCGATCCCGTCACTGCGGCTAAGATCGACGTGTGCGGAAGCGACTATAAGGGCAAGTTGCTCGACCAGATTCCCGCGGAGAACTTGCCGAAGGAGTACGGTGGCACTTGCGCTTGCCATGGGAGCTGCTCGCTTAGCGATGCTGGGCCGTGGAATGAGGAGACAGCAGCGCCCACGCAGGCACCTGCTGCGGTGTGAGGGGTGCATGTCGGATAAGAGAATTGAACGGACGAGCTTGAGGCTCGGGGTCTGAAGGACGGTTTGCTTGTGCACCTGTACAGATCTACGAAATATACCTGATGGACTTGCGCTTGCAAACGTACGAATCATTCCTACAAATAGCAAACCCTAAAGCTGGGCGCTGAGCGCTACTGTAAGATCAAGCAGGGAGCAGTGGAGGGTGTAGAGTCTCTGCCGGTTCGATACCGGAGCTGCTCAATTTTCTTATGGTAATCTCCCATAAAAGTATGACGCGCGCCGCATCTACTCAGAGTTTCCATATCATGAGCTTTTCAGTCAAAGTTGTACCCTCACCTGTATGTAACCCTGTGTAGCTTCGATTCAAGCAGGTCGCGCGAATCTGGATTCCCGAGGGTCGGCCGAAGGGATAGGCGCGCGTCCGCGTCATCGTCTTCCCACCACGACGTCCTCCGAGTATCCCTTCCTGGAAGCTTCGCGCCACGCGCAGGGCCTGTCCGACAGAATAACCTAGTCTCTCCGGTGTCGTGGATACTCGACAGCAATCTCCAGAGAATCGTCTGACGTACGGTACATACAGTGTACAACAAGAACTGTCGCTTTACAATCGTTACAAGCCTACACCTCGCAAGCCTTTCAATTCCGATACACGGGGACACTCCCCTCTTCTTCAATACGTCTCGCAGCGTCTCCTGATACTGCTTTCCCTCCGCGTGCAACCTCCTATCTTACATTTTGGGCACTTCGGCGTCGGTGCCCTGCCACATCACGTCTCATGACCGCGTCAGCCCGAGCGGGCATTGTAGTACTTCGAGCGCCTGAACCGCCCAGGGATTACCGTGGGCTCTTCATGTGGCTCGGAGGCTGACGATGACAAGTAGCGTCAGCGCAAAGAACCTTCATCAAGTTCTGCGTACAACTGACCGGATGGTGCTGGCCCTGGCGCGAACCAGTCCAGCACGGACGAGTAATCTTCTCCTTAATTGACGCTAAACAGATAAAGCTCGAGGAAGGATTGGATGCATGCGTCGATGTCGGCCCCGCAGATGAGCTTGAACATGAGCTCGAACATTTGCGTGTCGAGCGCTCTAAGGACAGATGGCCTTCGGTGCGGACCCATGCTTGCCCAATACTGACTCGGGATGAGTATTCGGAAGACCATGTATTGGAGGGCATTACTCACGGTGCACAGCTGAGGTATGGATAAGCTGTCGTTTATTCCCATCGAGTATACTGACTGATCTATCAAGAGTAGGATCGGCGATATGCATAGGGCGACCGTCAGCGGCATCGAGAAGCCTCTAACATCAAGTCTGTGTTGCATGTGAGATGCTTGGTCGAGTTGGTCAGCGAGAGGACGTTGATGCTTACCCACTATCGCCTACGTCGAGTGGATCGCTTTCAAACAGTTCACCACCACGCTCAATGCTCGCCTGACAGCAAGCCGGTCAGCTCGCGTGCCGCAGAGATCACACAGAACGGTTCTCACATGGAGGATCTTGCACAGTGCGGAAGCCGCGCATCCAATGTTCGTCTTTATATGTTCGTACGGTCCTGACTGCTGGCTAAGCTCGATGGCTTGGGCGAAAAGTCTAGAGTCTGCCTCTCGTATCTGATCCGGAGATGGGAGTGAGATGGACGGCAATGACCATGCATCGGCCAATTCTTGGGCGCTTCGGGTCGGGTTCGTGACCAACTTCCGCGCTTTCTCATCCAACATAGTGATGATCTCGTTGAGATGAAGCGTCTCGCTCAACTAAGATGAGGCAGCTTGTAAGCACAAGCGTGAAAGTAACGATAGGTGACTTGCCTTTTCGTCAATTGACGGTCTTTTGCCATAAGCAAGTACAAGAGGACTGAGAAGTCCGCTCAAGCTCGCGCAAGTGTCGAATACTTGATACACGATCAATGCGCGGTGCGTCTCGAGCATCCCAATCTTCTCTATGGCCATTCTAACACTTTTCTCGAAGTGGTCGAGCGCGTTTCGTATACCCGGCTCATCATCTTGAACACCTGAGGGTCGAGTTTGCGAGATGGCCAAGTCCTCTATCTCGTTGGTGTCGATCCTCACGGCCTTCGAATGATCAATGGCTGTTGCCAATGTAGCCTGGGTATAATATATCAGCGCAAGATATGATGGGATGAACATGAGATGAACATACGAGCAGAGTCGAGTCGACATCGCTCGAGATAGCCTCGATCAGCGCCTCAGCGAGTGACATCTCGCTAAGCATGATCAGGGTGCGGAATCCACCTGGATAGAACATATTTCTATCCGGTATCGACAGCCGCTGGGGCTCAGACATAATTTCGTCTGTGGGTTGCTCTGGAGTAGGATCGGTGTGCTCTGGAGTAGGATTGGTGCTGATGGGGCTCAGTGTCGAGTGTGCCTCCAACCCGAGGGATTGAATGCCTGCATCATACAATAGACCACGACTCGTAGTCTTAGCTGACGATGCCGCTGCCCGAGGTGTGTCTCGGCGATCATGGGGAGGGGCTCTGTTAGAACGGAGTGTTCTTGAAGTCTTCGAGTTGACTGGGGTTTTCCCGTGGTTGACGCCCATAATGAACCCGAATGAACAGATATGTCTCTCCTGAGTTGCATGAGTTTATTTCAATAGATAGATAAGGTATTGCAACGCACTGTATGATGAGCTTGTGTAGGAGTGTGATCCTAAGAGACGGGCTTTAACGACAATGATCACTTTGATAGTCGTATGTTACGCACCGGTTTCTGCGCTCTGACTGATGACCACTGAGCAAGCCGTATGTTACAGGGAGAAGTGGACCTTCAAGTGGTAGTCGAGGCAAGAGCAGCGAGGTGCAGGAGCGTCGCATGCAATTGAATCCTTCCTTAGGTCACGAGGTTCCAATACAACGTTCACGCAGATTCAGCCACAATCATGAGCTGCGCATTCAGCCAGAGCCCTGTATCAGGTCCTAATACACAGTGAATGAAGCGCGAGCGGTGTTATCGAAGACCCCTTCGGTAACTCGTCTATGGAGATCCCAGATCTCGAGGCCATGTCAAGATCTCTGGTCTATAGCACGCAACCTTGCTCGATTGGAAGTAGCGAGCTTTCCACAGTCCAGTTCAGAGCGTCACCACTTTGAGCACGTTGATAGCTATTATACCGCATGGCCTCAAGATAGTGCATAGCGTCCATATACATTGCTCGCGAAAGTTGCCCAAAGCATGATCCCAGTAGTAGAACCCGAGTATCTACCATGTACTCGTCGACTTTTGATAGGATTACAAAGTATACTGAACGTTTGTATGCTATGAAGCGTATGAGATATTTAAAACTCAGGAAACGGTCGTTGGCTCAAAGAACGATAGGTTTATCTCTCGATTCGGCGTAAGTTCGGCTACCAGGAGTGAGCAACGGATCGACCACAGAGATTACGTCTCGTAGACGCGTATTATCTCGTTTCCTGTAGAGTAGATAGGGGAATCTTGCGCCTATATCGCAGTGATATATCTTGAAGATTTGAAAGCAGATGTTCACTTCGTGCAGTCCCGGCGACTCAGATGAGCATGGCTTGCAACTTGCACTCACGCGTGCATGCTCGGTCGTAGCGGTCAGCTGGGCCAATGATACTCAATACGAGTCCACCCGTACGCTCAGACGTGAGCGAAGCGGAGACGCACAAATAGCCCCATATCAGTCTGATCGACAATCCTGACGGTAAGTCTCATGAACGACGAGCTAGGTGTGTCCGAACAGGCGCTACCTCTTCTCTCGATCTCCGACAGAGACGTGTCTATGACGCCTTTACGGGTTAGGAATACATATAATCAATATCTGATATAGATATAACGCGTGTAATGATGCAGTTTGAGGGCGGATTGAGCGAATTTTGGACGAAGTGGATGGAATACGAGATAGTCTGCCCTAGAATACGCAGCATATTACGATGCATGAGAGCCTGGACGCCGGCATGTCCTGTGAACCGTTCGAATGATTGGTTCAAGCATGGAAGGATACCATATCGCATGTCCAACTCCTTCAACTGTCTCCAAGGCGAGACCGGCATTGATGTGCTGAACCGAACGCGTCATGATGACCTTGATGACAGACGAGAGTCGTGTATCGCGAGCGCATCCGTTCTTTGACACATATGACATGAAGATGTACGTGGTCCAAGATACAAAAGGTCCGTAACGGTGGCAGCAAAGCGCGTAACGACGCGGGACGACGAAGGTGAAGTAGGAGGATGGAAAGTGTTATAGGGCTAGTATGGAGTCAGTCGCGAGCTTCGAAAAATAGAAGAGTAGCGTAACTGTGGCCAGTTTCTCTACGATATTGATAGGTCTACTCCTCATGGAGCGAGCTCAGCCATTACACGACGTCGACTTGGAGTCGGCGCGCGAGGTTCAGAGGTCCACGCGCGGCATCATCCTTGATGTGATGACAGTTCGTTTGACTGTTGACATTGGTCCTCAATATTCGCGAGTTATTCAACCTGCCGCCCAAGTCAAAGTTGAGTTAGTCAACCTAGTTCCGTGAACAGAACAGGGCTGAACAGGACTGACCGGCGAAGGAAGAATATGCGAAAGGTCGAGAATCTTAGGCTCAAGACAGCAGAGGGTTCAAGAAGAGCTCTCCCTGAAACATGGAAAGGTAGCTAGTAAAGCGCATCAAAGAGAAGGCCACTCTCGGTGCTGGATGGCGGGTCGGGGCAACGCGCGCGGACGCCAAACATGAAAGCGCGTCGTAGCACGTGGTCGCGTCGCAGGCTTCCCGCCATCACAGTTTATTGCCGCCGAAACAGTGATGGCGGGATTTCTGAATCAGTGCGTCATCGCGTGAGCGCGTTCGAGCTTTCTCAACGCCTATGTACAGTACTGCCACTGTATACCTGCATCGCTACATGAACGGAGTACTACTCCTCGAAAGCTCTCTCAGAAGTCACCCCATAACACCGAATCCCGGTCACGCCGTCCGAGGGGAGCAGCGCGGCCGAGGCTCATGAGTGCGAAAGCAACCACCAGGACAGCCGGATCCCCGCAGGTAGCATGCAGTCCCGAAGGAGTGTCCGTGAATCGACCCTGTCTACTAGGGCATTGCGGATACAGAACGCGATTGGACTGTAGCGGGTCGTGTGGCAGATCTTCATCGAATGCGACACCGATCTTCTAATCTGCACTGCACTGCACTGCGGCAGGGGAGCTCATGGCAGTTGGGCTCGTACACATCCGTACATGCCAATCCTCTCAATCTTTGAGCCCATCGTATACCCATACAAGATCGCGAACCATCAATATGTGCACAACTACTCAGAGAGTTCCCTGCAACAACGCCTCAGCCCTCGCATCTCGCGCCCTAATCACATTCGGATACGGCAGCGGATGCCTACAAACCCCAACATCAGCTCCGATGACCAAACCCACAACACGATCCTGTATCAATAACTCACATGAGCAGCCCATCACCAAACTTGCCCTCGGGAACAATCTCGTCCCCATTCGCATCGCGCGCCCGAGAGATGTCGAGTACCGCGCCTGCGAGCGCGATCTCGAGGAACATCGTTGCGTCCGCGAGGTTCTGGCCTGGGCAGGTCCTGCGGGAAACGACGAAATGAGGACGACTGTTTGTAGTGCGGGGTATGGCAGAGAGCGGACGTACCGGCGCCCGAAACCGAACGCTGTACGGTACGCGTCGGGTTCGGCGGGGCGTTCGGGGGTCGAGATGAATCTGTCGGGGTCGAACTCGCGCGGGTTGTTGTATACATCTGCTGTATTCAGTATATGCCTACATCCCATCAACCGTCAATCAGCCGACCAGTCAAGAGCGAAGAATGTGCATGCATGCGCACCAGATGTTGACGATGACGATAGACCCCTTCGGTATAAAGTACCCCTCATAAACATCGTCCTCCAGCGTCGCATGCGGCACCCCAAGCGGCCCCACAGGATTCCACCTCAGAACCTCGCGTTGCACGGCATTGATATACGGCAGCCGAGGGCGATCGGCGAGTGTGGGAAGACGGTCGCGGCCGATGACGGTGTCGATCTCTTCGCGGGCTTTGAGGAGGATATGGGGGAATAGAGTCATGGCGAGGAAGAACGCGGAGATGGAGGAGACGGTGGTGTCGATGCCGCCGCCGTAGGCGGAGGTGGCGGCCCATTTTGTTAGCTCTTCGAGGGCGGGGGTGTACGTGCCTTCTTGTTCGACCATGCGTTGGACGAAGCAGGGCTCGGCGGTGCCGTCGCGCTGTGTAGGGTGTGAGCGTCTCAGTGTCGGTCGAAGCGCAGTGTAAGCGGGTGGGAAAGAGCTTACGATCCGGTTCATGATCGTCCTATAAGGCAACTCGCACATCTCGTCCACCGTCTTCCGATGAAAAGCGGCCATCTTCTTGAACCCGGCGCCGGGGAACCACGCTGGGACGTATTTCACTGGTGAACACCGACGTCAAATCCAAATACGCTATATACAGACATTATGATGGTCACGTACGCCATGGAAGGATGTCCACGAGATAGGGCGTAGAGAAGACGTGGTCGGCTTGCCGCATGGCCAGGGATCCGGCGTCGAGGACGGGGTCCGCTCCCTCGGGATTCGGATGGTATCCGTACAGAATTCTCATTGCGATAGACGCAGCGCACCTTGAACCCACATCAGCAATGCATCATACAATCAAACTCAAAACACACACTTATGAATATACTGCTCAAACCTCTCCGGCCCCTCCACAACCCTCCTCATAAACGCCCTCGCCTCGTCCTCAAAGACAGCATAATGCCCCTCCATCGCCTGCCTTGTCCCAAAAAGCTGCGAGAAGCAGCGTCGTATCTCTTTGAACAGCGGATCGCCGTAACGACGCATGATGAGCGGGCGGTTCCACCCGATGAGCTCGGAGGCCATGGTCATGTGTGGACGGTCGGAGTAGGTGGCGCCGCGTTTGTCGAGAAGCTCGACGGCGAGGTTGTATTCGTTGATTATGATGAGGTGGGTGCCCATGGCGTCTAGGTGGAGTAGAGGGCCTGTATAGCGTTGAGGTCTATGAGTTTGTGTTCGCAGGTATAGCATGTTCGCAGTGGTGGAACTTACCGTAGATACGCGACCATTCAGCATACTGGTGTGACTGCAACATGGCAGTCTTGGGTATATCGAGGGCGTTGCCGACGATGAGCTTTTGTGGAGGACCGGGTGGGTAAGGCAATGTCGGCTTTCGAGTGGACTGCCGGATGAGCCATGTCGCTACAGCGGCGACAGTTACCGCGGTGAAAACGAGGAAAGAGGACATGGTGTCTTACAGACCGCCAGACCACATGCGAGCTGTTTAATGAGGTCTGCCAGCCAGCGCACTGCGCCATCCACGGGCTTCACGGTGCTTAGAATTGGCATTGCGTAGTAGCATCAATAGATGGAGGGTTGTGGTCTGGAAGCGAAGGGCATGACGGCCAGCAGGCAAAACGCATAGTATCCTTAGCCCCTTGGCGTACGATCAAATGCTACAAATATACCTCCCTATCGACATAGCTCATGTGCCAGGACAGCTTCAACCACAGTTGCATAGTGCGCGTGAAATAACAGAACGGCCACACAAGCACGCATGCGGAACGATAGTCACGTTGACGCTAGTCTATAGCTAGCGCTCTTCGTAGAGTGCGTATAGTATTCGGTCGAGAGTCTGCACGGTACGACGGACCTCCGTGGCGGCAAGAAGCAAAGCGTTCGCAGCCTGCGCGGGGAAAAGACAGCGCGGCCGGCTCGGCCAATCCCGGGCCAGACTCGGACATCCCCACACGTCGACCCGTCTCCTCCCCTCCAGAACTTCACTCTCACTCTCACCTCGACGTCCACCACGATGCTCTCCCGTACCGCTCTCCGTGCCGCCTCCTCCTCCAGCCGCGCATTCAGCACCTCCGCGCGCGCCAGCTCCAAAGTCGCCGTGCTCGGCGCGGGCGGAGGCATCGGCCAGCCGCTCTCGCTCCTGCTCAAGCTCGACCCGAACGTCACGGCGCTCTCGCTCTACGATATTCGTGGGGCGCCCGGTGTCGCGGCGGATGTTTCGCACGTTGACACTAACAGCGTCGTAAGTACTCGAAGTATATTGTAATAAGGTGGGATGTGGATGGCTGAGACTGGCTCTGTGAATAGGTCAAGGGATACGCGGCGGACCAGCTCGATGCGGCGCTTGAGGGCGCAAAGGTCATCGTTATCCCCGCTGGTGTTCCCCGCAAGGTATGTTCCCATCATTCCCAATACAGAAGTTCGATTGCTGACTTTGTTTCGACAGCCTGGTGTAAGTCCGCAATGCTACGTCACGAGATTTCCCCATACTGACCTCGCCCAAGATGACGCGTGACGACCTCTTCAACGTGAGCACCCGTACTCCCTGTCGCATATATCGAAGCTGACGAGTATATATCTGTGTAACAGACCAACGCGTCGATCGTGCGCGACCTCGCCGCCGCCATCGCCCGCGTCGCGCCCGAAGCCTGCGTAGCAGTAATCTCCAACCCCGTCAACTCGACAGTCCCCATCGTCGCCGAGACGTTCAAAAAAGCGGGCACCTACGACCCGAAGCGCGTCTTCGGCGTCACGACGCTCGACGTCGTCCGCGCCGCGCGCTTCCTCTCCGAAGTCTCCGGCAAGGAGACCAAGGACACGATCGTCACCGTCGTCGGCGGCCACTCCGGCGCGACCATCGTCCCGCTGCTGAGCCAGGCACAGCACGGCGCGGGCGTGAAGGGCGAGACGTACGAGAAGCTTGTGCATCGCATTCAGTTTGGCGGGGACGAGGTTGTTAAGGCGAAGGACGGCGCCGGGTCCGCAACGCTCAGTATGGCGTATGCGGGCGCGAAGTTCGCGAATGCGCTCTTGCGCGGGTTGAGCGGCGAGAAGGGCGTCGTTACGCCTACGTTCGTCGAGAGCCCGTTGTTCAAGGACCAGGGCGTCGAGTACTTCTCGTCCAACGTTGAGCTTGGCGTACGTCTTCCCTCTTCCTCATTCATATACGAGGGGCTTGAACTGATTTGGATTGTGCGATATAGCCCAACGGTGTGGAGAAGATCCACGACCTCGGCCCGCTTAGCGCCGAGGAGGAGAAGCTCCTCGCTGCGTGCATCCCCGACCTCAAGAAGAACATCGAGAAGGGCGTCAAGTTCGTCTCCCAGGCTTAGAGGGCCTGTCCGCGGGGTTGCGGTAGATGCGTGTAGATTACACCCGTCATATACTTCACATAAAATCTGTCATACATTTGGGTTATATGCTTTGACCGTTATACGATTGTGTGGTATACTCCTTGAGAGGGAAACGAGGCTGTCAAGTTCTTGCCTTTTAATTTGTGTGAGGGCGTCGATTGTAGATTTTCCCAAGTCAGTTGAGAGGCCGTACGGCGAACACCCGAGGGATACCCGAAGGTCTTACAACTCTTTCGTACAAGCGCTAGCAGGATTACCCATCCTATACAAGCGCTCGCCACCTCAAAACCTACATAACTGCCTGAGACCTGAACTCGACGCGTCGCGTCCAAGATCTAAAGCCCCTAACCAAACTTTCACGCATCAACCACCTCCACCCCTCCTCATCCCACCCCTCCTCCCTCACCCCATCCACACCATCCTACACCAACACTGACACAATGTCATCCGACCCAAACACAATCCTCGCCCTCTTTGCGCGCGGCACCCTCGCCCGTCTGTCGCTCTGGCCCGTGATGCGCGCCGCGATCGAGAACTCGTGGGGCGGGCCGCGGAGCGCTGCGAAGGTGCGCTCCCTCCCCCTTCCACTCTTCCAATATTTCACTCTTCCGCTCGGAGATCAGATCAGGAGGCTGACTAGGTGCGGTTGATATAGCGAACGTGGCTCGCGGGCGAACTCGTCGACGCGTTCGAGAGCAGTCTGCCGCGGGGACAGGGCGCGGGCAAGGGCGAGGAAGAGCCGGACGAGGAGTGGGTCGCTACGATGCTCGGGCAGGTACATCCCATCCCTCCTCTCCTCCCACTTATCCCATCCCATCATCTTTTACTCATAAACGTGATGTGGTGTAGGTGATGGAAGACGAATTCGACGTCGTGCTCGAAGACGACTCGCACATCTCCGTCGCGCGCGACCTCGTCTCGCTTTGGAGCGCTGCGAAAACGCTTAATGAGGAGCCTGTGAAGGAGTGGGAATTGAGGGCAGATAAAGCGTCGGGCAAACGGATAGATGTACAAGTGCAGTCGAAGGTGAAGCATGTGGATGAGGCGGGGAATGAGGTTGATGGTGGGGAGGAGAGTGATGATGGGGAGGAGGGGGACTGGGAGGACGAGGATGGAGGAGGGGAGGAGGCGCCGCAGTTGATTGAGAGGAGGGAAAGAGAGCCGGTCGTCGATGAGGACGGGTTCACGCTCGTACAAGGGAAGGGCAAGGGCAGGCGATAGTCTCGTTCATTGAATACATATGTATAAGTGTAAACATACATCGGTACAACAGCTTTGCACAATCGATACACTACATCACACATCAAGAGAACCACACAGCGTCCAAGACTACAAACACTCAAACGCCCAAACCCATCAAACCCTCGCCTCTCCCCAAAAATCCTCGAACCTCACCTGTACAACACCACACATCTTCTCCCACACCCTCCACCCCACCAACTCCCTCTGCACGACAACCTCACCCACCGCCGCACCGCCCTCCCGCCTCTCCGTGACGAGCCTAAGCAGCGCGAGCATATCGGCCTCACAGCTCTTCTCCAGCTCTTCCGGTCTGTACATGTCCACCTCATACTCGGCGCATTGGACGTGTATAGTATCCAGCGCAGGTAACAGGTCGAAAGTCCCATTTGATGCACGAGCGAGGAGCGCGTCGAACAGCGGCGCGCATCCTTCGGCCTCTACACCTAGACGCCGTACGTTAATCGCCGCACTCAGATGGCCCACGCTCCCCTCCTGCACCAGATCCTGCACGCACCGCCTATCCAGTCCCAGCGCTGACAACCGATGCAGCGGCAGCGCAGACAGCTGATGGCTGAGCGTCAGAGCTTTCGCGGTCTCGACCGATATAGGCTGCTTGTACTCGACCGCGAGCTGGATGCGGGCCTGGTCGCGCGCGGGGGGAGGCGAGCGTGATAATACGGACGCCAAGGAGGAGGAGGAGGTTGAGGCGGTCCAGCTGGAGCGCGGGAGCGCGGGCGTGTAGAGGTCGATGGATTTGTCTGAGACGACGAGCTCGGAGTCCGGTTCGTCGTTGTTGGCGTCGTTGGTGGGGGTTTCGGCGACGTCGAGAGCGAACGCGAACAGCCGGGCAAGAAAAGGCCGGAGCTTGAGCGCGATACTGTCGGCGTGCTGCTCGTCGTTCACACCGTGCATCGCGATGCGGACTTTCGCGCGCGACCGGAGTTCGACGTGGTTGAACAGCTCGACGAGCGAGTTGTTCGCCGCGCCCGACGCTTCGAGGTTCAGCGTCTTCAGCGTGTGAGGGAGGGATGCGGTGTCGGTGTCGGTGGGCAGGATGAGCGGGAAGACGTCGTAGAGGTCGAGCTCTTCGAGGCTGCGCAGCGAGGCGAGCAGCGCGGCGAAGGGCGCCCAGAAGGGGAGCGCGTCGAGGTCGGTGCAGCCCTCCGAACGCAGTGTAAGGTGCGTCAGTTTCGACGCGAGGAGGGTGGAGTCCCAGTGCGGGAGGCAGCCTTCGAGGACTAGTCGAGTGGGCTGGGTGCCGTGGCAGAAACGGCGCGGAAGACGGTACGTGGGCTGCGGGTTGTCTTGGTCGGCGCAGACGCTCAGGTGCGATATGTTCAGCATGGGGTGCCGGCAGTGTTTGACGAGTGCGTGCAGATCGGGGAGGGACCCGCCGAGCGAGAGGGAGTGGACGCGGGAGAGGACCGAGGGCGCGAACCAGGACGATACGGCGCGTCCGAGCGTGGGGGGGTCGTAGAGGCCCATTTCGGTTTCGAGGGTCAGGTGGAGAGGCGCGTGGCGAGAGCGGAGGTAGAACCAGAATGCGGCGCGGGGTGGGAGGGCGAGGCAGGGGATCTTGGTCCAGAGGGATGGGGTTTGCACGGCGACCTACATACGAATTTATCATGAGAAAGTCTGAGTTTCACGATGTGTTTGAGAGATACGTACGTTACGCCAGTATTGACAGACATGAGACACGCGTAGCCATCCCAGATCGTACTCGTAGACCTTCCTTTCGCGTTCCACTCCCGGCGTCCATATCTGCTGTACCAGCGCGAAGATCGTCGAGAGGATCTCGAATGGAAGGCGGCACGCGGGCGCTAGAAGGTTCCTGCGCTTCTTCGCTACTAAGACGGCCTTGTTGGCGTAAGCCAGTTCGGCGTCGAAGGCGGTAAGCTGGGAGGGTGGGATCGCGTTGGGTGTGATGGTGAAGCGTTGGTCGACGAGCGGGGTCCAGACGTCTTCTGCTACTACACTACACGACCGTATAAGCTACCACGTGCGTGTAGTTAGGTAGGTATAGTGCTTACTCGACGTCCATATTCTGTTCGGCCATGTTGGTATGAGGAAGAGCTGAGTCGCGATGAACGAGACGCGTCTCTTGTCTCCGGCGCCGTCCGACGCGTCTGAAGCTTTTGATGGCGACGCGACCACGTGCCACGACGCGCTTTTCGTTTTTGGTTCTAACGTTCGTCTGCTTCGGGAAGGAGGTTTGCGCTCTCTGACATCTCCTCGGCTCGTCGCATATATTCGACCTCATGCTCAGCGCTGTTGCTGCTCGGAAGCTGAAGCAGGTTCAGCAATCCTCAGCGGTTCCTGGTCCTTCCACTTTACCACCCGTCGCACCTGCCTTCACAGCTTCGACTGGTTCACCCTCGAACGGCAAGACATCACCGACAAAGAAGCCCACTAACAAGCCGCCATCTAAGAGGAAGCTCAGCGGTCAATCCGTACCCAAGGCCGCCGCGAAGAAACCTCGCCGATCGCGTTCCAAAGGCAAAGAGAAAGAGACGCCGCGTTACTTCGCGGAACCTGCGCATGCCGACGACGACGGCGACGATGCGCTCTTGTCTGTCGACGAAGATGACGATGAAGAGCGCGAGAGTGTACTCGGCGGTCTTGATACTCAGCCCCTCGCGCTCCCTCCTCCGAAACGCGCCTACTCTCCCAGCCGGCCCGTCGAAGAAGACTCGTCCGACGAGGACGTGCCAGCTCCGGCCTCTTCTCTCCGGCTCAAAAGCGCGCAGACGCACGTTCAGCCTGTCACACTATCTACATTTGATCCTAAACCGGACCACAACATGTTCGTGTTGACCGCAGAAGAGCGTTCGACGCTCGGGCTAGACGACGAGAACGCCATCGTTGTCGTTCTCTCTGCCGAAGAGACGCTCTCTTTCATCGGTACACTGCGTGTACGGGTCTTACGAGGGATCGTGAAGATGCTCGGGACGACGCTCAGAGCTTCCGCTGTATCGCATCCTGTCTTCGCGCCTCGATCGTCGCCTGTGCCAACTCTCGAAGCTATACAGGCAACCGAGGGCTCTTCAACAGAGTCATCACTCGCTTTACCCACGCGCATCCAGCGTCTTGCGAAGAGCGCGACAGCGGTCGTGGTGCTACAGGACATGTTCACTGGCGTGGAGAGCCTCGGTCGCGTCGTGCGCACGTTCGAAGGCGTATTCCGGCATGGAGCGGACGATAGTGCGCTAGAGCTACCTCTCTCCAGTGCGGTCATGGTGAGCACTCATACTCCTACAAACTCTCTCGCTCGAAGCTTAAGTTACTACTAGTGCACACGCTCAAGTCGCGATATACAACCGTTCGTTCTACCTTCGTCTTGGGAAGACGCGTTACGCCAGGCTACGTCCATCGACGAATCGGGAACACCGCCGGTGTACTTTGTCAAAGGTACGAAGAACTCTGGCAAGAGCACCCTTGCACGCACGATGGTCAACCGGTTGAGCGCACGGTGAGCGTCGCGATGGTAGATGCTTGACTATATACTGATTGTCTGTGATCAGGTACCGCCGCGTCGCCTACTTGGACTGCGATGTTGGCCAATCTGAATTCACACCTGGAGGCATGGTTGCTCTGACCATCCTCGATCAACCCGTCTTCGGTGCGTACTTCTGCTTTCCTCCCTAAGCTCGCGTCTGACTTCGCATACTCAGGACCCCCTTTCACGCACCTAACCGTGCCATACCAAGCGCACTACATCGGCTCCTCCTCCCCCCGCTCCTCCCCCTCGCACTACCTCTCCTCCATCTCGTCCCTCCTGCACACCTACGCTATCGACCTCCGCCACGCCGCCGTCCTCGACCCCTCCCTCTCCACCTCCACCTCCATCTCCGAAGACGGCCGAATCGCCGACAGCGTCCCGCTCGTCATCAACACCATGGGCTGGGCCAAAGGACTCGGCGCCGATCTTACGCTGAAGATCGAGCACCTGTCCGCGCCGAGCGCTGTGTTCTCGTTCTACGCTGATGCGCTGCCGGAGGAGTACGACGGGCCGGCTGTGTATAGACTCGACCCTATACCGCCGCCCGCGCACGCGCCGCGGTATACGGCCGCGGATCACAGGGCGCTCGCGCTGCTGTCGTACTTCCACGCCGTTTTCCCACCGCCACCAACATCATCGGAAGATGCTACGTCGCAGCGCACCGTGCTCAAATGGGACACCCGCCTCCCGCTGTGCGCTATGCCGCCTTACGAGCTCGACGCGCGCACGGCGATTCGGGAGGCTGTGCTTATAGGCGCGGGGATGGAAGATGTGGTGCCGGCTGAGATCGGCCGCGTACTGAATGGAGGGCTCGTTGGGCTTCTTCAATCGGACGACATCACAGGGCCCCCAGATGCATCCGAAGGAGAAGGTGGATGGGCTATTCCGTACACCCAAGCCGCGCCGCCTCCGGACCCTACGACCTCGCAATGCACGTCTCTCGCGCTCATCCGCGGTATATCGCCCGACGGCACGCGATTGCAACTGCTCACGCCCTTACCATCGGAAGGGCGCACGCTCGTGAAGGGCGAGCTGGAGATACCGGTGTGGGGCATGCTGGACTTCCGGGACAGCGGGAAGGGCGAGGAGAGCGGCGTGCCGTTCTTAAGGTGGGGCAAGGCGGGCGCTGATGGGGTTATTGGGGGCGAGAGGAGGAGGGTTAGAAGGAATTTGATGCGGAAGGGGCAGATGTGATCGTGTATGTGCTTGGGAGGGTTGGGGTGGTGAATATGACGGGCTGTTGTACGATATATTTCTCCATTTGGGGATCCAGGTTACGGATGAAAGAAAGGAGTGAGGTTTGCTGGGAGCGTCAAGTGACCTTGTTTATTTTCTGTTTCCTGCCAATCTTCTCAGTGCTTTGCCAGTTATGAGCGAGGAGTGATTACTCGAGAGTCTCGTAGTACGAAGTGCATACGAATAGAAATTGTCAGTGAATGAGTACGGACACAGCTTTTGTGTCTCGCGGGCAACAGGCCCCCTCAGGCCGAGGCGAGCACGGCGCGTCGGTTTACTTGACGCCGGGCATATACATAGTCTCTGATGCAGTCGCGAGGAGCGGTATGATGACACAGCGACTGTACTAAGGACGTCGCCTGTCCGCAGCAGCTCTAAGCTTGAGCTCGCAATAATTGCTAGGTTGAATGTGATGCTATGAGCATGGAAAAAGGCCTACAGCTGCGTATAGAAGTCGATACGCCACTAGCTTGGGGCCAGGCCTGACCGAAGGGTCGTGTTATGATATTTTTTGCTGAACGCCAAGTTCTCCAGGTCGCGTGACCGTGTTTGATCCGCGACGCGCTCAGCCACTCTAGCGCGCGCTCAGGTTGCCACTCTAGCGCACGCTCAGGTTGCCCTTCGACGACGACCTTGTCTGCCCGCAGGACAAACCCCCTCCCTCCTTGAACGACTTCAAGACTGTAGACTTTCCTATCTACCTCTGGTATGTCGCGTTCAAATCGGCCTCGCCGAAGATCCCACCGTCGTTGACGTGAACCGGCCCAGATAACTTCGACCCCAGTACTAGTAGCTGGAAGCTGGCCATGACGACGGATTCTGAAGGAAGCTCTCCGCTACCTTCTCCTTCTCCATCTCCGCTGCCCTCATCAGTTCGGACCGGCAAGCGCAAATTGAACGCTCCTCAACGATACCGCGACGACGATGGTCCAGTCAAACGGTCCAAGAACGATACTGACAACCCTTACTCCGACGCTTTGTCAACTACGGACGCCAACCTTATCTCACTCGTTGACGCGTATTCTCGCACCAAGCCCTGGCTCAGGGCTGTCAGCTACGCCTTTCCTAAGTGGCCGTGGGTCACGAGCATCATCCTCGATAATGCCTCACTGGCTGTGTCGCTCCATGCTCGCGACAGCGTGCCCAAGACGGTCATGGTGAGTTTTTCCACCAGCCACATGATTGAATGTAACATGAAAGTCATCAGGATCTCGCGCTGGCTCTCGATGACTGGGAGCGCACCAAGATCTATGCTGTGCGCAAAGGCACGGACTCGGCTATGTGCTACTTCAGACGGCTTGGGATAGAGAAACTCGGTTCTGTGACACCGGGCGCGCACGATTTCGGTCAACTGCATGATCTGCTCTCGTCGAGAAGCTTAATGGTAACGCACAAGATCTTAGTTGTCTATCGTACATTGGATATCCTTGCGTGGCTGTCTGGTGCGCCCGAAGTCGCTCGCGCCCGCGGTACTCCAAGGTCGCCGGACATTGGGAAGCTCGTTCCTACCACATTCACCAAAGTGCGTGAACTAGCGACGCCACCCGCCTTCACGCAACTAATCCGATCCTTCCCGCAGTTCGACGCAATCAATGATTGGATCAGTGCTCTGAACGGGACGGCCGAGGCGTGTCGCCCTCGCACGACAGCATCCCGACCCCGCAATCTGCCAGCCATTGACTGGGACCATCTTGACATCATCATTCCCTCCCATGATGAGGTCTCCGCGGCAAAGAAAAGGCTCGGAGATAGCGACGACTTTCACACCGGGAGTCACACCGCCATCTGTAACATCAAGAGTGCCGCCTTCGGGTTGTGCTTCCTTCTCGAGGTTCGTCTCGCGTTCCTCGTTTGTAAAACCATGACGCTTACATTACCCATATCCAGGAATGCCACGAAGAGCGTGATAACCTTTCATATGTTAATTTCATTGACCTGAAGACCTATTGCGGGTGCGTTCATGGATACGCTCCGGCCTCAACTTGTTCGACCGATGCTGACTTCTGATCTAGCGGTGACATTAACCTATGCCGACGCGTTTGGGAAACACTTTCATTGGCCCTATTCGTATCTCCAGTCTTACTCTTGTGCGGCAAGGATATCCCTAACCGACAAGCTGAGATCCCTATCAAGCGGTTGTGGGAGGTACGTTGATCATATGGTTAGTGGAAAAGTGCTTTTACCTACGATAGCGAAGTTTTGGAGACTACTTGGTAATACTGGTCGACCGGCAGAGCTGATCAAAACGGAACGGCAAGTCTGGAGGATCATTCTCGATGTCGCGCGTGGCTTCTCGGCACCCGATTGCATTGCCTCCTTTGCAGAGTACTGGCTAAAGGGGCCACGTAACCAGCGAAGTTACATCGAGCTCTCATCGTGGTTCGTGAATGGAGAAAGAATGACCGGTGAGATCTTAATAGTCTAGTTTTCGCGGACGATCCGCCTAAGCATGTCCTTCCAGCGACGACGAACTCTTCCACTCAGAATAGCTTCTCTCAGCGACCGGTGCGTCAAGACGCTTCGACCGATATCAAGGTGGACAAATATGAGCGTTCGGTAAAGCAGATTGTACAAAAGTTCGCTCTGGGCCGTGCGTTTGGGATTGACCGTTGATCTTTCAGAAAACGGGCTCGGCATCTGGTGCCACCCAGACGATGCACATGGGATTGCCGAACGCGCTTATAAACGGCCAAAGCTTATCTACGCCGGGCCCCTCAACGTCTGCGGCAGGTCCATCAATAACACCGGCTGCTTCCAAGAATATAGCGTCTAGTTCTATCAACTCGGTGTCGTCATCCTCAGCGGCAGGTATGTTAGGTTGATCATTTATCATCATCTGGATTTGAGAGCTTGTGTCGCAGCAGGAAGGATCAACTCCATGAAGCAGGATCTCGCGTCTCTCAGACAAGACGTTCAGAAGAAGGATGAGTTGATCATTGAACTTAAACATGCCAACGCGTCGTTGACCCGGGCGAGGGAGATCGAAGGACACGGTAAGATTTTGAAGCAGTGCATTGAACTGCTGGAGGGCCATCCCGAAAGGCGTGGCGTGCATGATCTGTCTGGTAAGAATGTTTGCATGCATTCCAATCCAACCAAGCTCTGCTGACCATATCGTAGGCGCCATGTCTGCCCTCCAAGATGTCATTGCACGTCTCTCGAACGCGGCCACATCAAAAGAGAAGGAGCTGGAGAACCTTCGAGAGGAGAATAGACATATCAACGAGGCGCTTGGCTTATGAGCCTATGTGTAACCAGATGGGCGAACAAGATGGTCGCTTGATGGGTATGCCCGGAGGCGCCGCTATCCCTTGCGCGCTGTAATGTATTTCTTGATATGCTGTACATCTTGAACTGTACCATTTGTAATTTACCTTTATGACATACAGGCGTTGTTGCGTGATCGAAAACAGAGAGGTGCCGCGAATTGAGCCAAGGTGTGCGTTGAGAAGCCCGGATCAAAAAGCGTTGTGAGTCAGCGAGCTCTACGACGGCGAAGCGCAATCGCATATGCATCAAGGCCATACTCTCCGCAACCAGATACAGGGAAGACGCGTTTTGCCGCACGATGGGCAATCTACGCGCTGTAGCTCATTCACTTACTCTACCCTGCCGGACTGGTAGCCATGTAGCTAAAGCCTCTCAAATACGCCGCATGTGCGGCTCCTGTAAGTGAGTAAAAACACATTGTCGCATACTGAGAAGAAGAAACCCCGGTCTACGAAACTCAGATTAAGCGGTTCGGTCGCCATCTTTTAGATGTCGCGTGACCGCGTTTGATCCGGCATCTCGAACGACGCGCGTGCCTCCCACAATCGCCGCCTCTTCCCATTGACATCCACCACGGCGAGACTGTTCTTTATCTTATGGCTCTCCAGGACGAACGAACGCGGAGTCATGAAGCGATTCAGCCATATACTACGTCTGAAGCCGATCAGATATTCTGTCCCATTGACAATGAACCCTGCATCATCTCGCCCGAAGCCGTAACTGTAGCCTCGCGCGGGTTGTGGTCCATTTCGCCCTTCAGCACCATTGCGCACGTTCATAGAGATGCCACCAAGGGCAAGAGTTACAGAGACGCCCTCATTATATGGACCATAAATACGCGCACATGAGCTCTCTCAAACTTCGCTTCAGCACCCGGCGACACGCTCCATCTGTTATCCCGACTTCTCCCCCGTGGCATCGCCTTCGTCTCAAGCCATCGCAAATATGCTGAGCCATACCGGCTCGCCCTACGCTTCCTCTTCGGGGACAGCGACGACCGATATCTTGCCAATGTCTGTTGGAACAAAGCGCAAACATATCACGCCCACGCGCCGCGACGAGGACATGGTTTCAGCGTCAGCGCGCATAGACAGGAATCTGCCCGGGTCATACACTCCCTCTGAGATGGTCAAGGATGCTGGCCTTCGACAACTGGTGTCCCAATGCGCCACGAGCAGACCACACTTGCGAGCGTTGGGTTATGCCTTCACAAAGCTCCCGTGGGCTTCATCTGTGCTTCTCTCTGATACGTCGATTATCGACTACATCTCTGGTCTTGTCCCAGTAGACGATTCACAATCGCCACTTGCGGTGAGCATCTCGTCCCTTCGCCACCGTTCCTGATTCATACTCATCGATTGCGACAGACTTTGGCGGAATCGTTAGATCATTACGAGCGGGAGGACGTTTACAGGAACTTCGAAGACGCCATGTGCACTTTCAGGATCTTGGGTCTTGAAGAAGAGGGCGCTGTGCGGCCCGGAGCGCACGAGTTTGGCAAGAACTTCCAGAACTTCAAAGGAACCCGGAGCGTTATCACAACGCACAAGATGTACTTCATTTATCAAGCATTGGACGTTCTCTGTGGATCGATCGGCGCGTCTTGTGTACCACGCAACAAGCTCGTCGCGAAGTCATCGACCGTGGGCGACTTCGTAAAATCGACCTTCAAAGGAGTATGCCTTTTGTTGTAGCTCATCTCTCACCGCTTGCTGAGCTCATTGTTTGGTTCGATAGGCAGTGAAGAGTGTGATGGAGGATTGGTATGCGACGGTGAACAAGACCGTGGAGGCCATTTTGGCCACCGAAAGTGATGATCCCCAACCCGTCCCTCTGATCGATTGGAATCGTCCAGACGTCACACTGCCGACTTGTCGGCAGATCAAGGACGCGGTGATGAACCTGAGCTTCGTATGCAGTAACAGGGTCGACACCAAATCAAATGCCGCTGACGTGAATGCCCAAACCGTTGCTTTCAGTCTGGCTTATCTGCTTGAAGTGAGTGCGCGTATTGTATAGGGTTCTGGGCATGCGCTAATCAGCAGCAGCAATGCAACGTTGCTGGTAAACTTTCGGAGGTGGAACTCTTGAACCTCAAGGGTGATCATTGCGGGTAAGCACTCTCGTATCTCAACACGATGCTGCATGATGACGTGTCAAAAGAGGGGACGTCAACGTCGCACGAGGAATCTGGATTATGCATGTCCTGGCGTTCTTCGTATCGCCTATCTTTGTCTTGTCCGGAGGTCAGATTTCTAAAGTTGCAAAGATGACCTCGATCGTTCATATCTGGGAGGTACAGAACACTTGCCACCACCTTCACTTAAGTCCTAATCTAACGCCGCCGATAGCTGTGGAGACAGCTTGGCAACGCTGAACGTCCAGCCGTGCTGGCACATACGGAGAAACAGATGCTCGCCATCATCTTCGCCATCATCCGTGGAGCTGATGCGAACACATGTCTTCGTTCGTTCGCGCAATGGTGGGCGACCGGTGAGCGTTCCGAGAAGAAGTACATTCCGGCGTCGTTTTGGTTCGTGACGGGTCCGTCTCGGGTGTATGAGCGACCAGCCCGAACGTCAACGAGTCTTGCAACGCCCAGTCAGGTGTCATACAAGTTGGACAGAGTCAGCATGTCGCCTGTACAGCAAATGGCGGCTCTTCTTCCGGCGCCCGAGAATACTGCTCACCTTGAGGAGCGTCCATACAAGAGACAGGTGGGGGCCATGATGTCCCGGACATCCTGACTGTCTCTGACCATCATCCGCATTCGCAGAAAAGGGCCCACGAAGAGCCTCCCACACAGACTCAACCAGACTCTTCGAGATTTACGCCGGCCCCGGGTATCAGCAGGATCGAGACCCTCGGCGAGCACGTGAACTGGCTACTGGAAGAGAAGAAGGGCCTTGAGCAGAGGGTTCAGAAGACAGAGTCAGAGGTCGTCGCAGTGCGTCAAGCCAAGTCCGCCGGCGAGGCTCAGATGCTTGCCCGATGCCTTGCCTTGCTCGACGGGGAAGTTGAACGGGCTGGTGTGAAAGATCTACATGGTGAGCGGGTCTCCTTGATACCCAGTTCCATCATCACTCTGACACGGGTTTTCAATAGGTGTGCTGGGCGCTCTCAAGAACTTTCACAAGCGGCTCCGCTCCGAAGCTGCCAGGGCGAAGCAAGACGTCGAGATCTATCGCAAGCGCGCAGTCGAGGCATTTGGCAAAACGAGAGAGAGCGAACAGAAACTCGTGCGATCGCATTCCCAAATGAAGGAACTGGAGAAACGGTTGGAGGACCGCAATAAGGCGGAGCAAGAGATGATCGATAGGATTAAGACGTCGAAGTCGCCTGTGAAAGGTAGACAGGCGTGAGCAAATGCCGCACACCATATATTCTCCTCCTTCTGTCAGTAGTAATACCTTCTCTTTGATACCATATTTGGTTTTCGATACGACTCATCTGAACCTCTAACTCGTGGGTGCTCTTCCCGACGTCAATACATGTTCGTCGAATGCGTTGCGGTCGGCTATGTAGCTTGTTTCGTACTCTTTCAGACCGGTCGAGCACCAGATCATATTCACACGCCTAATGATTCATCACGCTCATCGCAGGTGAACTACAGATACACCGATCCTAATCAAGAACAGTCACTGGTACATCTAAGAATATCGCCGCCCACACGCGCCATCCAACCAACGCTTGCTCGATCATCAACTCTCGCAGTGGCGTACCTCCGTTCTTGCGAGTAGCGACGAGGGTGGAGAGAGCTCGAGTTTGCCGTACGTAGGCTGCCTCGTGCAAAGCTTTGTCCCCTCCGGTATGGAAGTGTATGATCTCAAGAAGTGGAAAGATCTCGAATCCGCCGCCATCCGCATGCCTAGCGAGTATGTCCAGTAACGCGTCACTGGACTGTATGTCGATACCGAGACATCGCACGGAGGGAGCGGCGACCAGACGATTCAAAAATTTCATGTGCGTGAGGTCGATGACTGCGTCATGGGTGAGGGATATGGCGGTTATGTTAGGAAGAGGGAGGGAAAGAAATCGACGGCAGAGGCGGAACGGCTCTGAAAGCTCGGCCTCGCATCGATCAACAGGACTGACTGACATAAACGCTGAGCCTTTCATGTCGCGCGGAGGAGTGTCGTGCGAGCGACTGATAACTTTGGGCCAGTATCTTCGAAGTTCTTTGTCCATCCAGCTCGAGCGAGGTAATTCGGTCTTGTGGAAGTGAAGATCACGCAATCCCACGGCGAGCTCGCATGGCGCCGTCTCCCCGCCTGCGTAGAGAGCGGTGACAGCCGGGTCCAACAAGGGCATCAGCTCGACTGCCCTCTCTGGATGAAACTCCCTTTCATCTCCTCCGATGACGAGGACCGTAACCTCTACACAGGTAGAGGGCGGATGTAACAAGAGCGGCACAAGACATAATGCGTCATGGTAACGCTGTTGTGCTGCAATCCCGATATAGTCCACGTAGGGGAGAAAGACCGGGTTTCGAGGCCGCTCCCCGGGAGACAGAGGCAATAGATATGGAAAGAAGTTCTCAAGCTTGAGTGAACGGAGGTTGATCATGGACAACAAGACCTGGACAAACTCTTCGTAGTCTGGGTAGAGCTCCTCGTCAGCGCATTTGCCGTAATCGAGATATATAGTGAGATGGGTTAACGAAGAGCGCAACAAGTGCACGTCTGTGTTCCATTGGCGCGGCAGACATCCCCAAAGAGTGAGTTTGGCCAGACGGACTGCGCTCGGGCAAAGGTCGTCGGGAAGGCAAAATACCTCGACCACGTTTTCAAGGTCTTCCATCTCTACCGCAAGTTCTTCTAAGCCATTCATCGGCTGTTGCACGTACTGTCGGACGATCTCGAAGCCTTCTTCGTTGCCGGCCAACGTCAAAGACTGGACATGTGAACCAAAGGGCACAGACGATGCCCAAGCTGACATGAGTTGCTTGCCAAGATCAACTTCGACATCGTAGGTATTCACTTCGAAACCATGACGCAAGTTACGAGCGCGATGGACGACATGAGGGACGATTTCCGTCGGTAAATCTAGGCAATCGGGGTGATTTGTCCAAAGTGAGGCTGTTCCGATGGCTACCTGCGTGACAAGTTGATGAGCTATACCAAGGCGTGATTACACTGATCATCAAGCCACTCACCTCGCGCCAATACGCGCATACGTGCGTTATATACATCCATCCATAATCAAACCGTCCGCGTGGCCTACGGCTGGGGGACCATCCGCTTTGCGCACTGAAGGTGAAGATAGACGACAAAACTTCGGCTGGAATGCGACACGCGGCAGTGAACATGTTTCGACGTCGCCTAGCAATAGCCATGCCTCTGCTCATGTACAGTAGCTCGTCGTCTAGTGAGGGAAGATGTCGCCCAAGGAAGTCGGCGCTCGAGCCACGCAGATGTTCGACGTTGAACCGTGTCTCTATCAGTGACATCCACGACTCCCTGATATCATCAGTTTCGGGCACTCGTTCTGTAGGTAGTGTATACACACTTGATACTACTCATGGTCGCACAGGGTTGCGAAAGCGTTCGGGTTCCAGATGATGCAAGATAGACGACGGTAGTGGTAGCTTACGGTCAACGCGCGGAATGCGACGCAGATCAGGGACGGCCTTCGGCACGAACCTCCGCAACTCCGGCTAGAGGCGAATGCCCATCCGATATCCGGTACAGTCAAAGCCTGTCTCATACACATCATAGGCACTTGCGCTACTTCATGACAGTACATCGTTTACTACCCTTACTTGCCTGGAAAGTCGAACGGCGTAACAGGTACATCGTACTTTACTGCCTCCCATACATCCCAATCCGCCAATGCCTTCTCCACCACAATCTCCTTCAAGGGGGCCCCGTACTCTCTGCGAGCCGCAACGAACGCAGCGAGGGCCAATGTGTCTTGTACACAATCCGACTCGCGCAATGTCACATCGCTGCTGAGATAGCCCACGTGGACATGAAGTATCTCGAGGAGAGGGAAGACTCGGAATGAGCCATCCGGTAGGCGCTCAGAGAGCACATCCAATAGTGGCGCGCTGTCCGACAAGACGATCCCGAGGCGGCGTACGGCTTGCGCACGAACTAGATCGCGAAGGACGTTCGCACGCTTCATCTGGGTGATCGCATGGCGCGCGAAGCTTATAGCGCGTATCTCCCGAAGGGGAAGGGACAGGACCCGGGTGCAAAGACAGAACTCGCCGGCGGGGTCGACTTCCGAGTCCGGGAGCACAGAAAAGAAGACGGAGCCGTCCGCACGTTCGCGCGGGAGTGTATTTGCGTGGGCTGGAATAGCTGTTGTCCAGCCCGCTCGTGTTTGCTGAACTGCATGAAACCCTATGCCATACAGCTCGACGACGAGTTCGACTGGCTTCGCCTGGTCTGCCCTTGCATTCTGGAGGGCCAATATGGTGGGGTTCAGCATGGGAGTCAGGGTTTCTACCAGCGCAAACGGGTCTTCCTGATGCTCTATGGCCGACCCGATCTCCAGCACCTTGGCTTCGACGCACGTAGAAGGTGGAAGGGATAATGTCGATACGAAGGAAAGACAGTTCGCGAAAGCCCTTCTTGCCTCCAGGTACACATGCTTCACGCTTGCGGGAAGTCGGATGGTGGTATTCGTAGAGCTTGGTGGCGGGAAGACGTCGTAAAGGTCGAGATATTCAAGGTTGCCCAATGACGACAGGAGGCCAACCAGTCGTTCGTGCGTTGGAAAGAACGTCGTATCGGGGTGACCGAAGCACGTCAGTGTAAGATGGGTGAGCGTTGCACTGAACAGCGGCGAGTCCCAGTGAGGGAGACAGTCCACTAGGCGCAGCTTGATGAGTTGGGCTTCAGGGCAGAACGTACGGGGCAGACGGTGAACGATAGGTTCGTCGGGGTTCTCTATGTCAACGACCAATTCGACAAGCTTGGGCATAGGCGCCTGCAGGTAGGTTGCAATGGTCCCAAGGTCTTCCTCCAGACACTGGATGGACAGTGTGCGAATGCGCCCGTTCACAGCTGCAGTGTCGGCGGTGAACCAAGTTGTCACCACTCTCTCCAACTCGGCGGGCTCGTAATCCTCCCGATTGTGACCCAAGGTCACTTCGAGAGGTAGATCTCTGGAGCGTTGTATGACGAGGGGGATGAAATCTATAGGGACTCCATAGACGTCGATATTGGCCGTCCAGAGGGAGGGCGTCTGGATGGCAACCTGGGAGAGCAATCAGTGAACTGAGAACGAGCTCCGATTCCCTATACGCACCTCGCGCCAGTAACTGCACACATGAGTTATGCGGATCCACCCATAGTTGAAGATAGCCGAGTTTTGACCCTTAGTCCGGACGAACGGTGCCCAGCCGACCTGACTGAGAGAGAATATCTCTGACAGTATCTCTGCCGGGATCTTGCATGCGCCAGTTAGCTTATTCCTGCGCTGGTTTGCTGTTGATAAGGCCCTTTGCATTGTGGCCAACTCCGTATCGAGAGACTGCAGACTCGACTTCAGGGCCACATTCGAGTCAGTCGCGCGAATGCTGTCGACATTGAACCGTGCGTCTACGAGTGGTGCCCATACATCTTCGCTGTTCCAACAGTCCAAGCCTCAGTAAGAGCGTGCTATGAGCCTATCCAGTGATGACACTCACACATCAACGTCCATTCCGACACCTGAGGAAGCCATATAAATCCGGATAAGTATCTCCGGCTCGATATATACCCACGAAGAAGTCAAGGACCCTTCGCGTTGTTGACTCTGCGAAGCAACCCTGCGGCGCGCAGCTTGAGGGTAGGGTGTCGTGTTGTAGGATGTGCGAGAGGATAGCGCGACTCCGTTCGAGCAACGGTGATGGTGGTATTGTCCAAGCTACGGCGTGAGACAGTGGCGCAACCTTCACCTCGCGCCACCGCGCGCCAGTTGCGCAAGTTCAACAAGTCTGAATCTCGAGCCTCAGCGCTCTCAGCGGCGGGGCCTGGCACAGTATTCTATATGAAGGCCAGGCTATCGCGGGTATCCCTCTAAAGACACTAGCGTTGGGCGTCTCATGATGCAAGCAAGCGATCCATATCATATAATACAAGTAGATACTTCCACCGAACCGGTACTGCGTCATCCCGTCCTCTCGCGCTCAGAAGCACTTCCGATGAACAATCCCCGGCCCCGTCTCATCGTACTCCTGCTTGCTGACCCACAAATTCTGGAACGTGCTCAAACTCGCCAAGATGCTCCCACCGATCCAGACGCTGTACTTGCGCTCGGGCGGCGCGACGATCTTGACCTGGACCCCCAACGTCAGCAAGATCATAGAGGGAGGGAAAGAGGGAAAGAAGCGCACCTTGACGCCGTTGGGCGCGAGCGCGCCGAGCTCTTTCTGCATGCGGTCGCTGAGGCCCGGGAACATCGTTGTTCCGCCGGAGAGGACGATGTTCGCGTATCTGTATGACGTTGTGGTCAGTGTTGAGAAGAGGAGGTGAAGGAGGGAGGGGGGTAGACGCACAGATCGCGACGGATATCGAGGTCGCATTTGAAGATACTGTTGTACGTCGTCTCGTGGATACCTGCCTGTTCAAGACCGAGGAAAGCAGGCTGGAACAGCGCCTCTGGCGCGCGGAATCTACCACACTCCCATGAGCGATCACGTTCTTCTTCATGAAAGTGGGAAGGGAGGAGGGAAGACGCACCGCTCGTTCCCGATAGTGATAACCTGACCATCCGGCAACTCATAGTTCTTCTCGATCGCCGAGCTCTGCGCCGCGATCTGCAGCTCGTTCTCAAAGTCGAGCGCGACGTAGCAGAGCTTCTCTTTGATATCGCGCACGATCTCGCGTTCGGCCGACGTCGTGAGCGGATACCTATACCATCATCTCATCAACATGACATCTCTGTATGAACTGGAGAAGACGCACCCGCGCTCCGTCAAGTTCTTCACGAGATAGTCCGTAACATCGCGTCCGGCCAGATCGAGACGCTGGATGGCATGTGGAAGAGCGAAGCCTTCGTAGATGGGCACGACGTGCGAGACGCCGTCGCCGGAGTCGAGAACGATACCGGTCGTGCGGCCTGAGGCGTAGAGGGAGAGCACGGCTTGAATCTGGACATGGAAGGCGGGGGTGTTGAACGTTTCGAACATGATTTGGGTCATCTTCTCGCGGTTTTGCTGGGTGCATTTTGGTTAGCATATATGATTTCGAGGATGAAGGGGAAGAGGAGGGAATGTATGTACCTTGGGGTTCAACGGGGCCTCAGTGAGCAAGACCGGATGCTCCTCGGGAGCGACACGGAGCTCGTTGTAGAAAGTGTGGTGCCATATCTTCTCCATGTCATCCCAGTTGGTGACAATACCGTGCTCGATAGGATATTTGAGCGTGAGGACACCCCGCTTGGCTTGGGCTTCGTCGCTGTGAGACGTGTCAGTGCCGGCCGGACTGCAAGAAGAAATGAGATAGGAGGCTGGAATGCTCACCCGACATAAGAGTCCTTCTGACCCATGCCGACCATTACGCCTGTGTGCCGCGGTCGGCCGACGATGGAGGGGAAGACGGCCCGCGGGGCATCATCCCCGGCGACTACGAGCTGTCAGCACTATTGTTGAGCGAGGAGAAACAAAAAACGTACAGCCAGCTTTGCACATGCCGGAGCCGTTGTCGATAACCTAGGAGATGTTCAGTCAAAGTCAAGAAAGTCGCGAAGGAAACGTACGATGGCAGCGATCTCATCATCCATGGTGTAGAAAGTGTTGGGTTAGACTATTGACGGTGAGAGATAAGAGGTGTAAAGAATCGAAGAAAGTCAAGTTGTAGGTCCTTGGTAGGCAATAAGAGCCCGTGTATATATACAAAGCGCCCAAGCGGAAACCCGCCCGTTTAACTCCAGGCGAAGAACACGGGAACTTTCCCGTTCGCCTTGAGCGCTGCGCCTGGCACTGCCACGCGCAAGTCGCGCACGAACCCCATAAATCCAAGCATGTCTCACTTCTCAACATGCATGCTAGGCTGCTATATTCGGCCTCAACTTGAAGAGCCAAGAAGAACACATAGCACAACGACACAGGCGAGGCATGTGGTCCTGTGGGGGCGCAGGTACTAGGCCACTGGCTGCGCGGACTTGCCGCCTGCGCATACGGCAGAATCGAGCCACTTCATAGGACGAGTGAATGCTCGCAGCCGTAGGACAAGACAATGGCACAGTGTTCAGACTTGACACGGAGAGTTCGCGGAAAGAAGCTCGTTGCCAGCAGCTGCGCGGCGCTTAGCTTGGCGCCTTTTTTCTTGCACATATAGCGCCGAGCATCCAGAGCGCATCTATAAGATCGGGCCCGGCGGTCAGCGACATCTTGCGCCCTCGCGATGGCAGGGAAGACGAAGGAGTGGAGGAGCACGGCAAGTTGCGGTTCCAGATCAAAGCTTGTTTGCACGCGTTTGCGCAGCCCGCGACCCCGACAGGCGAGTGGTGTTGCAACACTCTTTCCTGTCCACCTCGGTCGTCCTCGTTCGATCGTCCTCGGTGAGTGCCTGATACGTGCTCGTCGCCGACAACAGCGAGCGCTGACGATTGCACCCAACTCTCATCATCAAAATCATCCCATCGCGCGCGCTGTCGGCACCGCCTCGCTTATCATATTTAAATCCCCGTCGACACGCGCCAGCTCGCGACTCAGTAACGAACCCCCACCTTCACCCTTTCACTACCCTATCTTAGCTCGCAAAAATGGAGGACGAGGTCGCTGCTCTCGTGAGTATATTGCACCTCCCAGGATCGCCGTGCGGGTGTTGACGTGGATCCAGGTTATCGACAACGGTTCCGGCATGTGCAAGGCTGGCTGTACGTCCCATCTCCTTATCCTATCACAATACAGCTTTACTTACTAATAACTATAGTTGCTGGTATGTCCACTAGGAATGCATTGAGTAGTCGAATATGTACTGAGCCGGCCCAGGTGATGATGCTCCCCGTGCCGTCTTCCCGTAAGCCCCATTTTTGCCCCAATTAATTGTGACGCGTGTATACTGAGATCGCGTGTGATCCAGGTCCATCGTCGGTCGTCCCCGCCACACCGGTGTCATGGTCGGCATGGGCCAGAAGGACTCCTACGTCGGGTAAGTCGCCTTCTCGCTCTGTCAGCGGGTGTAGCCGCGTTGGGTCGTCGCGGCGCGCCGCGTCCTGATTGGCTCGTCGCCCGCCACGCCCTTCGCCCCGTCTAGATCATCATCCTCCGCGGCTTCAAACAACGTCGTTCCTGATGAATCGCGTCATGATGTGATCGGCGGCCATTCCATTCTTCGGTGGCGCTTCCGCTGAATAAATCTTGTTTGCTGATACTCTGTTGCTGTCGTTTAGTGATGAGGCTCAGTCGAAGCGTGGTATCCTCACGCTCAAGTACCCGATTGAGCACGGTATCGTCACCAACTGGGACGACATGGAGAAGATCTGGCATCACACCTTCTACAACGAGCTCCGTGTCGCCCCCGAGGAGCACCCCGTCCTGCTCACCGAGGCGCCACTGAACCCGAAGGCCAACCGCGAGAAGATGACGCAGATCATGTTCGAGACGTTTAACGCCCCGGCCTTCTACGTCGCCATCCAGGCCGTGCTCTCGCTCTACGCCTCCGGTCGTACTACCGGTATCGTCCTCGACTCCGGTGACGGTGTCTCCCACACTGTCCCGATTTACGAGGGTTTCGCGCTCCCGCACGCCATCCTCCGTCTCGATCTCGCCGGTCGCGACATCACGGACCTGCTCATCAAGAACCTTACTGAGCGCGGCTACCCCTTCACCACCACCGCCGAGCGCGAAATCGTCCGTGACATCAAGGAGAAGCTCTGCTACGTCGCCCTCGACTTCGAGCAGGAGCTCCAGACCGCCGCCCAGTCGTCCGCTCTCGAGAAGAGCTACGAGCTTCCCGACGGTCAGGTCATCACCATCGGCAACGAGCGGTAAGTTCTTGATCTTCTATCTTGCGCACCATAGACGCCGTGATCTGACACGACGTCTGACAGCTTCCGTGCCCCCGAGGCGCTCTTCCAGCCCTCGTTCCTCGGTCTCGAGGCGGCCGGTGTGCACGAGACGACGTACAACTCGATCTTCAAGTGCGATCTCGACATCCGTCGCGACCTCTACGGCAACGTCGTCCTCTCCGGCGGCACCACCATGTTCCCCGGTATCGCGGACCGCATGCAGAAGGAGCTCACCTCGCTCTCGCCGTCGAGCATGCGCGTCAAGATCGTCGCGCCGCCCGAGCGCAAGTACTCGGTCTGGATCGGTGGTTCGATTTTGGCGTCTTTGAGCACGTTCCAGAACCTCTGGTGCTCGAAGCAGGAGTACGACGAGAGCGGCCCCGGTATCGTCCACCGCAAGTGCTTCTAAGCGCGTCGCGTCGTCGTCGTGCAGGGAAGGGAATGAGAGATACGAAGCGTAGATGAAATACGGAATGATCATGTTTAACGGCTGAATCTGATTGTTATGTCTCCTGGATGCGAAGGAGTTTTCTGACCTTGTGGCGAGGATGTCCGTGCCGCCTGTGCGTGTGAATAAGTAAGCGACGGTAGAAGCGAGGCAAAGGGAAGGAATGCGCGACCAGCGAGCCTGAGAATGGCACAAAGGATAACTCGATGGAATAGGAACAACGCGGGGGTGACACCGAGCACCTTCACCCTTTACCACCATCTTCAAGAAGTTCAGATATGCCATCTCAGTAGCCGATGCCTACCCAGTCGTCTGTAGCGTGCAATCTGCCCACGGAGATACTGTCATATATCTTCGCGCTCGTGAGAGATGCTTGGCCACCCACGAGAACGGACCCGCCAGACGAGGGTGGACAAACATACGACCTCGGCTGCATATATATAACGCACGTCTGCGGGCTCTGGCGTAAGGTGTGTTGTGAATGCAGTTCATGATCAGTGCGGCGACTGATTCGGTCGCGTAAAGGTCGCGCTGGGGACACCCACTCTTTGGACCAACATCGACGCATGCCTCGATATTCCCCTTGGTCTTGTGCCCTCGATACTGAAACGCTCAGGGAGATTACCCCTTAGTCTTACATTCAGTCTGCCCAACGATGAGGAGCGACGCCGTACTCCTGATATCCAGACCATTCTTTCGACATGGTTGACCGACACCGTCTGTTCACGTCTGCTCTCGCTGACACTCGAGTGGTTTGATCGAGTTGAGATCGACCATGTCCGGCCGTACTTGATTAGATGCATGGAGTCTCTCGAGCGGTTCATCTTCACGGCGAGCAACTTGAGTGACAATACCGGAGGGGCGACGCAACTTCCACTCGACGTCTGCAACTCAATCAAGGGATCTCAGCTCCGCGAGCTGTGTCTCGACGACTTGATGCCCGTGTGGGAGCCTGCTACCTTTTGCACAACACTGACTGTACTTGAACTGCACTCATATACCGGGATACCCAATCCGATGCTTCCCACGTTTCAGCAGTTGGCCGATGCATTGACGTCTCTACGCTCACTCGAACGACTCAGTCTTTCCGACATGTTCCCAGACTCGGAGGACCTGCCGAGCCATGATCATTACTTCAGCCGGATAGGACTGCAGCCCGGGTTCAAAGAGCTCGAGATTGCTACCTATGATGCAGTGGAGAGTGCACTGGATCTGCTATCTCATCTAGTACTTCCACCCTCATGTACTTGTCACGTCGAGATCTGCGATGCAGAAGGAATACCTGTAGGCTCAGCGCGCCAAGACGTCTTCACGGCTCTAGTCATCACTCTGTATCACATCAGAGGCGTGGAGCATCCTCCCGTCAAGCTCATCATTGACGCAAACATGATACTCCTCTGCCAGAGCGAGCATGCTCATCCTGCCCGGTGTACCGCGGACTTGTCTATGAGTCAAGACGCGTACTGTCTTCAGCCGGGCGATACCCAACTGCACGTCCTTAACGGTGCCTCTTCTGAGTCGGCCAACCCCACACGTGGCATATTTGCGACTCCTCTGCAGAGCTTGCGCGCCATCGGTATTCAAGACGGCGCCCTCCAAAGTATAGTTCACGATGACATACTCTCGGGACTGACCGCCGCCTGTGGCGTGCGCAGGTTGGACATCGAACTTCTTGATAGCAAGGCCTTCCTGCTTGAGCTAACGAAACGAGTGCACGGGGGCTATCACATCTTCCCTCTCCTCGAGATCATTCACTTCCACAGAGGTCATCATGGTGGCGCCTCCAAAGTGGAGACGGAGAACTTGGAGACCGAGTGTGATGCAGACGTTTTTGCGCTCGTTGATCTTGCGAAGGATCGTAAGAAGAAAGGTGCGCCGCTGCGGGAAGTCTCCGTTGAAAAGGTGTTCGCCGAGTGGAATGCATGGGATGCGGTACGGTCATATGTGTCGGTCACTGTACTTGACTCGTAACCCTCTCCGGCCATATATAATGCTGTATGACTACCGTACCGGCGCCCTGACATGGCACTGTCTTCGTGCTGTATACCGTAGTGTGATACACTGTAACCAAATACCGATTCCCGAGCCAAAGATGCCAGGCCGATGTTCCTACTTCAACGGACTCGTGCATGTGTATTGCGGGCTTACAGCGACAATCCACCGGTACTCATCGGAATCGCAAGCCCAAACGGAGAAATTGAACATGTATGTGCCGGTCGATGCATGATGGTTGAGCAGAAGGATGATAGAGGCGCTAGAGAAGCGGCGATCAACTGGCGGGGCACCCATCGGTCTCCGGACCGGTCAACCGTGCGACGCGGTACCGTGGCCCACGAGGATGATGAGCTCCTGTCTTCGACGTTCATCATACCGACTATGATGCTACTCTTCCCTATGTGAATAAGTGATGGCATGAGTCAGGCGGGAGCGCTACAGACAGCCTGAGAACGACATAGAGAACACGGTGGAATGTTATATAATGGGAAGAACCCGCTGAGCGCCTATTCTCTTCACTGCTTGTCGACCACCATGACAGCGTCAACACCCGCCTCCATGAAGCAGGGGTGTCGACGTCCTCCCCCGCCGTGCGTCAAATCCGTTGCGCATGTACTATAGCACGATCATTAACCCTCAGCCTAGTTCCGCTCCCGCCATACCCTTGGACATGCGCGAAAAGCGCTGCTCATACGGATGGAAGGTCGTCGTGAACATGAAGACGTACCGCAGTCAGCATCCCGAAGATGGCGCACCGCTTGATGTTCGCGACTACTATGAGGATGAAGCTCAAGGGGCGGGAATGGAGCGCGGCGTCCACATCCTTCTGAGCACCTACGACACGGAAACGACAGACCTCACGATGATCATCTGGCTCGCTCGCAATTTTGTATCTATCCACACCGACAGGCTTTTGGGCCGTACGATACCTGAGCAGATACCTACTGAAGACCTGATCACCAAATTTTGTCGTCGAGTGGGGTTTGGAGAGCCGGAGTGGTTCACCGTGTAGTAAGGATCCCCTCGTCTGGATTGGTTCGAGCTCTCAATGTATGGTGTCTGCGTTGTTATGAGCTCCATCAATGACGCTGCCTTCAATCTTGTCTGGGAGTAGACATATATACTCGCCAAGCCAGCGCCCGTATATGACTGGGTTATGTTATTGCATATTGTAGTGCGATACTCTGTACTCAGATGCTCATCTCAGAGCTGGATATTCCCGCATCTCGGGATTCGAGCGTAGTGCGAGCTCTATCAACGTTCTCACTCAACGGCGCCTATAAAGAGCTGAAGTCCTAACTCAACGTCAGAACGAATGGGGAAGATGATGAACGTGGCCCGTCGATGTTTCAACAGACAGAGAACAGAGGCGCCAAGGAAGATCGGATGCAGGTCTTCGGTCTTCGGACCGTTCGACCGTGCAGCGGCGTGCCATGGCCCACGCTCCGCGCGCACCTTCTGTCTCTCGCATCCACCATCGGCCACTCTTCACCATGTCCCTCGAAGCTACATCCTTAGGGTACGGCGTGCTCACTCTAACTCACCAATATTTGTACTCATATATCTCTCCCTCCCAGTCGGAAAAACGTCTGGTTGCCTCTTCTTCAGTCCCGAATTGGCGAAATCGGGTTTGAGGCGGCTTCGGGCGTTGAGCGACACGATCGACTTGATCTTATTGGAGCAGAATTGGAAGACCTTGAGGCGGCTCTCATCTTCGGGAGGAAGTATAGAAATAAACTCATCGCCGCCTGCAATCTTCCTTCAGAAACATTATCCGGCATCTTCATATGCGTGCGAGACGTCTGGCAGCCTGAGTTCAAAGGCAGGGACGGAGAGGAAAAGCGTGGATACGATCTCGGTTGGATTTATATCACGCATGTTTGTAACTTAAGTCTGCAGGAAGACCATACCCAGCTTCGCCTGTCAACCCGCCAGCTCGGTCGACGGCCTTGACAAGCATCTACGGTCGGTATATCATCCCCACCGGCCGATTTCCCAGACAGCTAATGGACGACGCAACAGCCGCCACCACGTCAGCCCAGATTCTCGCTTACATCGAGTCTCTCTCGTCCGACGACGAGGGCGACGACGACCGCCGCACTTTCTTTCACAACCTCGCCACTGCCGCCGGCCTCGTGCAAGACCGCCACAAGCGCCGGAACGAAGAAGCCGACACTGAACCGCCACAGAAGAAGAAGAAGCCCAGGGCTCCCGCTTCTGACGGATCCGCCGGCAAGAAGCACGCCGCCACCGCCGCCACGCGCTTCCAGGCTCTTTTGCGCGACACCCTGCTTGTTGCCACCCCCGCCACGTCGCCCATTGATCTCGCCGACCTGGTCGTGCAAGATAACGGCAGCAGCAGCGAAAGCCGCCGTGAGCTCCGCGCGCACGTGTTTCTCGAAGACGCGGCGCTGCGTCGAGCTCTTGTTGGCTTCGTTCCCCCTCCCGACGGCGATGCGTGGTCCGCAATCTCCCGCTTCTCGCCCGCCAGAGGCGATGCACTCCCTGATCTCGACGCCTACTGCGAACGCTCGCTCTCTCTCGATCGCGAGGCCGCCGGCAATCACAACAACGAAGTTTGCAGTTCTTGGCGTGAGGTGTGTGCCCTCGGTTTACTATTGCTGTCAGATTGTTGACTAATCACATCACTCTAGATCGGCCTTGAATCACACGTACTTTGGGCGCAGGTTGACAATTGCGTTGATATACCACCTCCTATGGTTTCCTCTATCCGTGATCGCTCTGGTGTTGCCCCGCTGGATCTCACATTCAATGTCAGCGGCCTAGATCGCAGCTACCGTGACTTGAATACGTGCGAACTCTTTTCGACATGGATGACAGACTCCTCGTACGCGCGGTTGCGCTCATTACGGTTTATGTTCTTTCCCCCACACCACTTCGATGCTATATGGCAATACCTTCGCAAGTTGGTCGTATCTCCCATCCATCTCGCCTTGATGATGGTGAGCGATGAAGTGGAGGCACCTCTGCAGCTACCTCCGGACATCTGTTCTCTGCTCGCAGGCTCGAGCATGCTTGAGTTATGCTTGGACGACTGTTTGCCTTTGTGGGATATACCCAGCATCCCTACAAACCTTACACGTCTGGACCTGATCTGCTATTACTCGAAGGGCCCTGCTCATTTCCTCCCTACCTTCCGGCAGCTTGCCACAGTATTGATGAACTTGCGATCACTGGAGGAACTGAAGCTTCGGAACGTCGTTCCTGAGGTCACGCCAGAGCATGGTGTAGACCATATCGTGTTCCAGCCCGGATTCAAGACTCTGCAATTTGAGGTTTCGAACGAAAGATTTCTTCTCGGTCGTGACTTCTTGTCACGAGTGGTTCTCCCTCCGGCGTGCACCTCTTTCATACACTTGCACGACGAAATGAGTTTCATATTCAACATCAACGGTCTCTGGAAGTCTATACTGTCTCTCCCGTTCGGGTTGAGAGGTCCAAATATACAACTCGTTGAGCTGGTCGTTGCGGGGGAGCAATTCATCGTGGGTTGCGTCGAGCACGAACGCCACACTTGGACCACCTCGATCCCTCCCTTCCCTCATGTTCACTCGAGGTCTATCGGAACCGATATCTGTCAGTTGGGAGATACAAGGGTGGCAGTAACCTGCCGATATCAGTCAGACTATAATCGTCGCGAATGGGTACCCCTCGCGATCACCCGTTGGATCTCCAAAATCCCCCTTCATAGCTTACGCGCAATCTCCTTCGAGCACCGAGCCCTGCAAATTTTGACCAATGACGATCTTGAAGATTTTGGATCTGCAACCGGAATACGCCGACTAGGGATAGACCTTCTCGGGACTAAGACGCTTCTCTTCAAATTGATGGGTAAAGTTCGCCGCGGAGGCAGCTATCATCTCTTCCCACTCCTGGAGATCATTCACGTCCACCTTGGTGGCCACAACGCCTATTCTAGCACGAATGAAGGAGACTTGGAGGCAGAATGCGAGTCAGATGCGCTTGAGCTCCTCGCTTTGGTCCGGAATCGCAAGGAAGGGGGTGCCCCTTTGCGAGAGATTGCCATAGAGAACGCACTCGCCGATTGGGCCGTATGGGATACCATGCGCGAAAATGTAGCGGTGACTCTCCTGTAACGTAGATGCAGATTGATCGATACAGCGGATGCGTGGTCTATTTCCTGCAGTTTGAGTAGTAGTCGGAAGAAGTTGCCATACGTGGGCGCTCGCCGCTGACCAAGAAACGGCAAATGCCGTGATGCGTTTCTCACAAGCCATCGGACCGCGAATCCCTCCTCGACCGTTGACCATCATCATCCATGTCGCTTGTTCGTCTTCAGCACGATCAAACTTCGCCCGAGAAGGCCCTTCATGTCGTGCATCTCCTTGGACATGAGGCGTACACAGACGCTTCCCATTCCCTCGAAAGCCAGGGCCAGTAATGTGGCTCGTGCGTTCTCACTGGAGCTCACGGAAGCTCTACCTTATCTCTAGTCCACTCACAGCTGGGTCACTCCCTGAGAGACTTCCGGTCATGAGCTTTTACCAGAGCCAAATACGTTCATCAAGACACACGGGTATGCGGTATCATCCCGAAGTCGTTCTTAAGCGTAGAGGTAGACGTGCCGCGACAGCGAACACCTCTCGCGTTCCACTGCAGACCGACATTGCTTACACTTTCGCCCCTTATGCTCTCCAGCGAATCCATCCAAGCTCTCTTCCGCCCTTCATCATGGATTGTCGAGCCCGAACCCTCCACATTCGCACCGCGCGGGACACTCACCAACAAAGATATGGACCCCACACCGCCTCATCTCCGCACATGGACGACTAGGGACTACGTCGCGTACTGGGTCGCGAGTAGCTTCAACATATCGGCTTGGGAGATTTCGAGCTCGATGTTGGCGACGGGGTTGTCTTGGTGCGTCTATGTTGAACTTCGAGTGGCGAACGTGCGCTTACCTACGGTACTACAGGCGTCAAGCCCTCGTATGTATGTCTCTTGGTCTTTCTCTTCAGGTTCAGAATGCTTACTTACGCGTGCGCTGTAGGCATAGCTGTAGGGCACAGCATCATCTCCATACCGATACTGCTCAACGGCACCATCGGAGCGCGTCTTCATGTCCCCTTCCCTGTCCTCGTCCGCTCCTCCTTCGGCTACTGGTTCAGCTACTTCGCGTGCGCCACTTACCTGTTCTCTACCTTCACATCTGAACAAGCCGCAGGGTCGTAAGCCGCGTCGCATTGTCGATGTTCTGGTTCGGTGTACAAAGCTACTCCGGTACGCCCTGCGCCGGTCTGATGTTTGAACACCGTATTGATGCGCGATGTACATAGGCGGAGAATGCGTGTACCAGATGCTCAAGGCGATATGGCCGTCTATCCAGAACATGCCGAATCATCTTCCCGAGTCCGCGCATGTCACGACTGTCAGTACGTATTCGTTCGAGTGCCCGATACGGGCGCTGGATGATTGATTGGGCCCGTTAGACATGCTGTGCTTCTTCATCTACATGGTCATCCAAGTATGTGCACCCTCGCATGCTCGGAACCGTGTCATGTCAAGCGCTGATCTGACATGGCCCAGTTCCCGTTCATGATCATATCTCCTCAACGCGTTAAATGGTTCTTCCTGTTCAAAGCAATCGTGTGCCCCGCGGCCTGTGTCGCGATGTTGATATGGGCTCTCGTCGAAGTACCTGGTACGCTACCTCGGACTCTATCTCTTGCTACGATCCTGATCTGGTTCTCCAGTGGGTCAGAGCCTGGGCAACAAGCATACTTCGCTCAGCGGGAGCGAGCTGCATTGGTCATACATGAGCGCGATGAACAGTGCGATTGGCATCTGGCTCACCCTTGTACGTCTCGTCGTCACTTTTGCTTTCTTCATGCACTTATCGTGCCGTATAGGCCGTGAACATCGCCGACTTTACACGCTATGCGAAGACACCACGATCGTATGTCGAAGTCTACCGCTATTCAGGCATCGTGGCGCTAACAACGATTGAAGGCAGATGGTGCAGATCGCCATCATCCCGCCCGTATTCACCTTCATAGGCTTCATCGGCATCGTCGTAACAGCAGCCGGCCAAGTCCTCTACGGCCAGATCCTCTGGGACCCTACAACGCTGTACGTCCCCACCCACCTCATCCACCTCTCGCACACACGGTGCGACTGATCATCCGATCAAACACAGGATCAACCGCTTCTCCTCCCGCCCCCTGTCCTTCCTCGCCGCTCTCTCCTTCGCAATCGGCACAATCGGCACCAACATCGCCTCCAACTCTCTCTCCGCCGCGAACGACATGACCGTCCTCTTCCCGCGCTACATCAACATACGCCGGGGCCAGGTGCTGTGTTGCATCATTGGAGGGTGGGCGCTGGTGCCGTGGGAGATTTTGAGTAGCGCGCCGGGGTTTTTGAACTTTATGAGTGGGTATACGGTGTTCTTGGGTCCGTTTGCTTCGATGTGAGTGGTTTTGCGAGAGATAGGGTGTTTGAACATGAAGCTGACACTCGTTGTAGTCTGATCACGGACGTACGTCGCTCACGTCTCTCCCCACCTCGTCTCCTGCGATGCTGATCGCGATGATAGTACTACCTGGTCCACCGTTCCCTCGTCTCCGTACCCGCCATGTACGACCCCGACGGTATATACCGCTACACCTACGGCTTTAACTGGCGCGCCGTCATTGCTTTACTCGTCACTGTCACACCCTGCCTCCCCGGGCTCGCTAAGGCGGTCAACAACAACGTCGATGTCGGCCATTCGGACGGTGCGGTTCGGTTATATCAGGTCTCATCTTTGTATGGAGTACGTTTTTTTCTTGCTTGTGTCGATGAGGAGACTGTATGCTGATGGATCGAGTAGTTCTTTACGGCCATGTTCGTGTATTACACTCTATCGCGACTCTTCCCGGATCGCAAGACATTCGTCACGGTGGAAGAATCTATGGTGCCGAATGCGGACAAGGCGGACGAAGAATCGGCTCATTCTTGGATCGAGGTCGAGAATAACATGGAGGAGAAGAAAGAGCATGGAGGTGTAGAGATTGAAGTGGTATCTGTCGCATCTCGATCATAAAGGTCGTGGCGCCGCGTGTTCGACGAAGGAGAGTGCCTTCCTGTAGACCCAGAGACTGTATACTGTACTATCTTAGCGCCAGTTCATTTCACCATGCTTCCAAACTGAATATCGGCGCGCCGAGGCGAACGAATCATTGGTTCGCAGGAAGGGAGCTCGACGGCGCGCCTCGGGCATGGGTCCGAGATCCCCGAGGCAAGGCCGGCGTGTCGAGTCTGGCAAGATCGCTCCATGTATGCGTTTACTCACGTCCTCTGCGTCCTTCTCCGGCCTTCGTAACAGATCACAGACCAGACCTCACATATCCTACAGAAGGAGTTACAATACAAACCTACTCTCATCCGATTTATGCAACAGCTAGCGATACAACAAGTTCATTCTATGATCTATCACGGCACTCTACGTCCGCTTCACCTCATACTTCTCCCACCCGACCTCCTCCAGCTTATCGACCTTCGTCAAGACCTCACCTTCCAACCCCCTGAGATACGCGTCCATCTTCTCAATGAGCGACGGGATCCCGGCCGACAAGATGCGCGCGGCCAACAAGCCCGCGTTCGTCCCGTTGTTGATGGCCACGGTCGCGACGGGGATGCCCCTCTGCATGTCCAGTCAGCTTGTATTCATTGGAGATGAAGAAGGGGAAGGGATAGTGAGAAGTACGCACAGGCATCTGCACAATACTATACAACGAATCAACACCGTCCAATGAGCTTCCCTTGACCGGCACCCCAACAACCGGCAACGCAGTCATAGCCGCCACCATCCCGGGCAAATGCGCCGCGCCACCCGCACCCGCAATGATCGTTCTCAAACCCCTCGGCGCCGCGCCTCTGGCGTACTCGACGAGCCTATCGGGCGTGCGGTGCGCAGAGACGATCGTGAGCTCGTAGGGGATCTTGAAGTGATCGAGGATCCGCGCAGCGGGGAGCATGACTGGAAGATCGGAGTCGGAGCCCATGATGATCCCTACAAGCGGATTGGAGTCTGAGTGTGACGGGGCGGGCGAGGAGTATGATTCGAGCTCTTGTGGGGTAGTGCCGCCGGGCAACCGCTCGAGCAACATCCTGACCCTCTCCCTCCTCTCCGCATCCGAACCCGCAACGACAGTAACATGCCCCATCTTCCTCCCCTTCCTGCACCCCTCCTTCCCATACAGATGCACGCTCGCTCCAGGCACTGTCAGCGCGAAGTTTGTGAAGTCGGTTATGGGCTGGACGGAGGAGGATGAGCCGAGGATGTTGAGCATCGCCGAAGAGGGGACTTTGAGGGATGTTGAGCCGAGCGGGAGGGAGAGGATCGCGCGGAGGTGGTTTTCGTATTGCGAGGTTTCGCAGGCTTCGATTGTGTAGTGGCCTGAGTTGTGTGGGCGGGGCGCGATCTCGTTTACCAGGATGTCGCCTGAGTGTATTCTTCAGCAAATATATTTCGTTTCATCACGAGGATGGGAAAACGAACCGGACTCGGTGAGGAACATCTCCACACCAAACACCCCCGCGCCCTCCAGACTCTGCACAGCCTTCTCCGCCACCGCACGCGCACGAGTAGCCAACGCAGGATCCGAAGACCGCAACGGCGCAAACACGAGATGGCAAATGTTATCCTTATGGATCGTCTCCACGACCGGATACGAAACGACCTCCCCTCCGACCGTGCGTACGACCATCACAGCGATCTCCTTCTGGAACGGCACCCACTTCTCCGCATAAAGCGGGCGATCACCGAGGAACGCTATGGCCTCTTTCGCCTGCGCCAGCTCGCGCAGGACAAAGTTCCCACGGCCGTCGTAGGCGAGTGTTTTGGCTTTGAGCATTAGAGGCAGGCCGAGGGTGTTGGCGGCCACTTCGATCGCTTGTACGGTCGAGTCTACGGATATGGACGTCGCCACTGGCAGTCCATATTTGGACAGATGTTCTTTCTGCCGGTACTTGTCCTGGATGATCCTGATAGTCGACGGACTGGGATGGACCTCGACCTTCTTCTCGCTATTATTCTGAACTTCCTCAAGAACGTCGACATTCACGTGCTCAATCTCGACCGTCAACACGTCGACTTTGGCGGCCAGCTCGCGTATCTTGACTGGGTCGGAGAACGCTCCGTCGATGTGTTGCTGTTGGGCGAGGATTTGTTTGGCTGGGGATTGGGCACCAACGTCTAGGATTACGACAGGGATGTTAAGGAGAGATGCGGCGGCGCCTAGCATTCGCCCAAGTTGGCCGCCGCCTGAAGATCAAGATAAGATGCAGAGTTCATTATGTAGACGTATTCCCTATTCGAGTATCATTGTCAGCCGCGTCATGGCAGAAGATGTCGAGTACATACTCCTACCTAAGATTCCTACCACCTTGGAGTCCATCGCGTCTTAGATCTCGGCGCGTAGATGAGGAGATGATGGTTCGCGACAAGACGCGACTGTCACGGGAGCGCGAAAATCGAGAGCGCATGGCGATTAGGGGCATCAGCCTCAGCCATCAACGCAGTCAGTCTTCCCATCCCAGCGCCTACGCGACTCTCCTGCCGCCCACCATCGTTCGTTCTCGAATGCCAGTCGGAAGTTTAGTATGTGCTCGTGTCTACTACTGCTGATGCCTTGCATGTGCGCTGCGAGTGAACCTCGGGATATTGCGCTGCTTTCTTGGGCCACATGTAGTGCCCTGGTGATCTACTACACCCGGTCGTCGTGCTCTGCGCGGCGGAATCGACGTCGCGCTCGGATGCCGGTGTCTATCAAAAGCGCTCTACAGGGCCCACTTCAATACAGCTGCGCCGGTAGTTGTCCTGGCTCAAGCGTTGCTCTGGTGCTTGACCCGCCCCGTGCGGCCCGCCAGGCTCGAGCCTGCCGTCGCAGCCATCATTTCCGTTCCGTACGCTTCGCTTCCATGTACCATCGTCATGGCACACCGGAAGGGCGGAAGCGCTGAGTAGTACGTGGAAGTCATGCGGGTTAATTTGAGAACGCCGCCACCGTTCGCGGCCCGGCGGCGTCGAACGCGTATAAAGGCTCTCGCGTACTCGTCGGCTTACTCTTCTCCTCGAGACTCGGACAGCATGCGCTTCACAGCTCTTTTCGGTCTTGCACTCGCGAGCGTCGTTGCGGCGCTCTCGCCGCCTTCGTCGCGTACAACGCCGCCTTCGGGTGCGTTGATTGTTCGCGCGGGTACGACTGCGTCTGGAGAGTACTCTACGCTCGCCAAAGCCGTCGCTGCGTTGCCGGCCGATAGCTCTTCGCAGGTGCATCTCTTTTCCCTCATCATACATCTGTGCGTTACGTGTCTAACCAAGTTGCAGGTCATCTTCATATACCCCGGGACGTATACCGGTCAAGTCCTGATCCAGCGCTCCGGACCCGTCACCGTGAGTACTCACTGCCTTCATATGGGTATTGGTTTGAACTAATGCAAACTTGACTAGATCTACGGCTACTCGACCAATCCCGGGTCGTACGCCTCGAACCAAGTCACCATCACTGCTTCAGCAACGATGACTTCTGCCGGTTCAGACGACGCCTCGGGTACACTGCGCATCAAGACCGACAAAACGTCCATCTACGTGCGTCTTCCCCTTCTTCCCTCGCACCCTCTACCACACAGCTGAACCTGTGATCCGATGCTTAGAACGTGAACATCGTCAACTCGTATGGCAAAGGCGTGCAAGCTATCGCGCTCAGCCAATACGCCTCTCATTTCGGGTGCTACGCGTGTCAGTTGAAGGGGTACCAGGATACCGTTTTGACCGAGACGGGCCTGCATGTGTTCTTGCAGGGGTACATCGAGGGCGCTGTACGTGTCGTATTCTCACTTCGCGTCGAGATCGATGAGCGCTAACGGCGAGATCTAGGTCGACTTCATCTTTGGCCAGCACAGTACGTTCTTCTGTGTAGAGATCCGCGCGTACGGTTTGGAGTACTGATGATACGATGTGCATAGGCCAAGCGTACTTCGAAGGAAACGTCATCGCAGTCAACGGGCCCGGCAGTATCACCGCCAGCGGTCGCTCTTCCGCCGATTCCGGCATCTGTACGTCCCTCCCTTCTTCGCCTCGCCTCTTACCTCTCCTTACACTCCCCATCAGACCTCTTCTCCCAAAACACCATAACTCTCGCCTCCGACGCCGCCTCCGGCACATCCGGCACAACGTACCTCGGGCGCCCCTGGGCCGACTACGCCCGCGTAATCTTCAAATCCACCACCGTCGACACGACGCTGCAGAAGGCGTTATGGAGCGAATGGAGCTCGTCGACGCCCAACACCGATCATGTCACTTATGCTGATTATGATACGGAGGGAAGTTATAGTAGGCCGAGCTGGGCGACGGAGCTGACGGCCAGTCAGGCGGCGGCTTATACGATGTCGAGTGCGTTGGGCGGGGATGTGAGCTGGGTTGATGGGAATTATTTGCTTTGAGAGTCGCCGGTTTGAGGGAGTGAGGGCGTGTGCGACGTGTGTACTACACAATTGAAGACTGTCTTGCGATGTGCATGTAATAGTTGTACTGATGATGTCAGTCTGCTCTACTTTTCTCTCTGGGAATTGGAAAGAGCATATCAACGCGTGACGTCACGCGTATCCCCTTCGCGCTCGCTATCGGGCCCCGGTTCGCACAGTTGTCTTCGACCACCACGACCCATTGAAAGCTTACCTGCTAATACGGAACGACAATTTTATCCAACCCTCTTCTATATCATCATCTTACCTCGTAAAGAGTCCACCCCTCTGACTGATGAGCGCTTGAGCCTCCATGAAGCGCTTCTTCGTCAAACGCATGGCAGTCGTACTACATCCGGTGCACGTTTACCCGCTCAATTGCGAGTTTGGGCACCCTCAATGGCCTCAATCAAGTCATCGTCTACTACGACAGGATATATTCTGGAACCATTCGATGGAAACGCACATGCATGCCGAAACCGAAACCTAAGTACAATGTGGACAGGCGCAGACCGATGCAACTCCAGGTGCGTCTTCCATGTCCATACATGACAACAACGAGACTGATGCATCATGCCTAGATCAGATACACAGAAACAATGAGAATTCAAAGCACAACAGAAGCTCTCAAACGCCAAAATGGACGAACGGGGCCCATCGCATGAACGCCGTCTCGCCCACCTTCTCCCGCAGAACCTTCGTCGCGGCGTGAAGCGCGTACGCCGCGCCCGTCTCTGCACTCCTAAGAGCGCCAGAGTTACGCAAAGCGATGAGCTCTCGATAGTACGCCTCGACGACGATGGGCGCGTCGGCATCCCCGATGGACCACATGGTCGCCACGACGCCCTTGAAGCCAACTGCGAGCATCCCTGCGGCTAGGTGAGCAGATTCCTCTGGTATCTTCTCGTCTCCCACAGCCGTCTGACACGCCGATAGGAAAGCGAGCTCCGCATTCTCGGAGACGGTTTCCATGAGATCCGACAACGTCAATGGGCCGTCGTAGAGCCGGAAGGCGCTCTTCGTCGGATCCGTGGGATGCTGCGCGCCGTGGCAAGCAAGGTGTAACCAAGGATGCTGGCTCATGTCCTGTTGAACAGACTTCACGGTGGCTTGATCGCGATCGTATACACGACTCGCGATTTGTGCGCCAAGGAGGACTTCTTGCAGGCGAGAGCCCTCCTCCGTAGTTCCTGGCAGTGCCGAGTACCCTGGCGTGGCCGGCTGCGTGACAACGAGTACAGACGGTGTTGTGTCCCGTTTTCCCACACCTTCAGAGCAGCGTAGGAGCGCGGACAACGAAGGGGTGTACGAGGACACGAGGAAGTCGAATGCGCGTGGACCGTGGGGATCGCCGTACACACCTGCAGCGTGAAGGGGGAGCTGCGTCAGCGGTCCGGTAGCACACCATGTAATATGCGGAAGAACATTGTTGTGTCCCTGTGCAGTATGTCAATATAATATAGACGATGAACAGAGGAAGACTCACGTGATCTTCGGCCATCAGCTTGAGAGACTGGGCAATGGGATGCACGATCCACATCCAAAGGTACTCGAGTACGCGGGTGGCATCATTCTTTCCGTCCTCGTAGAATGGCGCCATATACCGAACGAACGTGACATCCGAATGAGCGAGTTGCGGACTCTCCTCGTCCAATGGTGGCTCTTCATGTGATGTAGCCGAGAAGTTGCGAATGCGGTCTCTATGGTGTCTGAGTTCTGTGACCCACAACTCACGCAGCCGATTTGCTCGTTCCATCGATAGTTCGGGAAGTCGTATCGATTGCACTTCGCCATTTGGATGGAGCACCAGTGCATGGCAGAGATTAGATACATTGATGAAGACGACGGGGCCGTTCAACATCTTCAAGGCCGAAGTTGTAAGCGCCTCAAATGACTTGGGGCGTAGGAAGCCTTCGAAGCCAGGGCATGCACGAATCTTCTTCAATAGGCTGTCGTGCTCGATGGCAAGCGCGCGATGGGCATCAGCCGCACGATTGGTTGCAAGCCCAGGTGCGTCACTGACTGTCATCATCTCAGGGGTGAATGAGCTTCCCGCGGATGACCGAAGACCTTCTTGAACTCGGCGAAGAGACGCCGCGAGTTTGGGGTCAAATTCCCTCAACTCATTGAGTGGTGTGCGCAGCGACAAGACCTGACCCCAGATGAACGACCTGCCTGCCTCGAGCCACTCCACAGCCAGTGTCAGAGCATTGGCACTTATAGCTACAAAGACTGCAACATTGACGAAAGCGCCTATCCGAGACGATTCGTCGTAGCGTCGCTGAATATCATATCCGAGCCAGACAATCTCCGGAAGAACGGCGATGATGCGCGAGTGTGCTGACAAGAGCCTGTCTTTAGTGCGGAGAAAGGCATTTTCGGATAGCAGGAGGACACAGAGGATGGCAGAACCAAGACGAATTGAAGGCATGCCAGCTGTTTGTAACGTCGCCTGCATGTAACAGTCAACAGCGTCTATGTAATCGATTGTAGTGCCAGAACACGCGTGACGTTTTTGAAGCGAGTCGCCTAGGTTCATGAGTCGCCCCGACTTGTCGGGATGGCCATCAGGTGTAAGCTCGACCGCGCGACGATGTGATGAGACGGCCTGCTCGATATCATCGGACTTCCCAGTGCGCTTAAAGCGTGTGCACAACGAGGCTCCCAGGCTGTTGAGTCGCTCCGGTTTGTCGGGGTGGCCATCCGGGGTGAGCTCAACTGCACAACGATGCGACGAGACGGCTTGCTCGATATCATCGTGCTCCCCAGTGTGCTCGAAGCGTGTGCGAAGCGACCCGCCCAGGTTGTTCAATTGCATCGGTTTGTTGGGGTGGCCATCCGGTATCAGCTCGACTGCGCGACGATGCGATGAGATGGCTTGCTCGATATCATCGAGGTCCCCGGTGCGCTTGAAGCGTGCATTGAAGGAAATGCCGAGGTTGCCAAATCGTGCCGGTTTGTCGGGGTTACCATCCGGTGTCAGCTCGATCACGCGACGATGCGCCGAGACAGCCTGCTTGATATCATCGAGCTCCCCAGTGCGCATGAAGCGCGTGTAAAGCGAGACGCCCAGGTTGCTGAAGCATGCTGACTTGTCAGGGTGGCCATCCGGTGTAAGCTCGACCGCGCGACGATGCGACGAGACGGCCGCCTCGATATCACCGAGCTCCCCAAAATGTACAAAGTGTTCGCGGAACGAGCTACCCAGGTTGCATAATCGCGCTGGCTTGTCGGGGTGGCCATCCGGCGTGAGCTCAACCGCGCGGCGAAGTGACGAGACGGCCCCCTCGATATCATCGTGCTTCCCAGTGCGCTCGAAGCGTGCGCGAAGCGAGTTGCCCAGGTTGTTCAATTGCATCGGTTTGTTGGGCTGGCCATCCGGCATCAGCTCAACCGCGAGTTGATGCGATGAGACAGCCTGCTCAATATCATCACACTCCCCAGTGTGCTCGTAACGTCTTTGAAGCGAGGCGCCGAGGTTGCCAAATTGCGCTGGCTTGTCGGGGTGGCCATCCGGCGTAAGCTCGACCGCGCGACGATGCGACGAGACGGCCGCCTCGATATCACCGAGCTCCCCACTGCGCTCGAAGCGCGTGTGAAACGAGCTACCCAGGTTGCATAATCGCGCTGGCTTGTAGGGGTGGCCATCCGGTGTGAGCTCGACCGCGCGACGATGCGATGAGACAGCCGCTTCGATATCATCAAGCTGCCCAGTGCGCTTGAAGCGTTGCAGAAACGAGGTGCCAAGGTTGTTGAATCGCGCCGGCTTGTAGGAGTGGCTGTCCGGCGTGAGCTCGACCGCGAGACAGAATGCTGTGACAGCACTATTGATGTCATCAATTCTGCCGACGCGCTGGAAATACTCGAGATGCAAAACACCCAGTCGATCGAGACGCTCAGGATGGTAGGAATCATCGTTTGATGTGAGTTCAACAGCAGCTTGAAAGGCAGACATCGCTTGGCTGAGATCTTCAAGGGAGTGGGTCAAGTCCGAACGGGCCTTGAGCCGAACTCCTAGGTCGAAGTACAATTGAGAGCGATTGCTAGGATCTGAGTCTTGGTCAAGCTTTACTGCACGTTGCGTCGCCTGGATGGCCTTGTCGAGAATAATGATATCCGGAGGTTCGCTGCGCTGGTAGCGCAGCCACATAAACGTCCCGAGCATGGGAGGGTTATCGTCCAAGATGGCCTCTACGAAAGCAACCGCGTCGGGGTTACTCATCATGAGTGAGATCTTATCGTCCTGATTGTGCATAGACAGTGAGCCACATGTGTTTACATAGTTTTTGAGGGAACTCATCATGTCGGATTGACTCTTGAGGGTGGTGAGGGGATATCCGCGTGTGGGGACGAGAAAGTGCAGGGATAGGTATTAGTTATAAATACCAACCCGCATAGACTCGCTGTGCACCTGGCTATGCATGAACGCGCAGAACGAACGTGTTTTAGGCGCATGAGAGAGTATAAAAGGCACATGAAAGCACAGAGGCGCCCAATTACATCGATATGAGCGAGACGCCTGGCTGAACTGACCAGTGCGAGGTTATGAGCGTGTTCTGCTATCGATCATTTGGGCAGGAAGGTGGTACAGAGACCCTCGGAACCAGCAAGTCCGCCAGGCTTTGGAGCTTCCATTCTATGAAGTGAGAACCACTTTGCAATTCATGGTGGTAGTAAGGCCTGTACATGGCGGAGCCAAGCGTGCGTCCTCGCCGCGTGGGCACTGGCACTCGTGCGGCTCACGCTGCGACTTCTTTCGCACCAGCATGTCCTTTATCGAGATTTGGAGTACTGAGCGACTGCGACTACAGCGAAGGCACGCATGAATACTGGGTCTTCCGGAATTACTCAGTGCCGGTCCTCAAATGCTCGAACTCCCGAACCTAAAATCAGCTTATGAGCGTCCATGAAACACCACCCGTCCGAACGTCCAACACCGATTCCGCACGTCCGCCATGAGGACAACAACTACCATACTCTACCACCGCATCCCCGGCTGATTGAGGCGCGACGGCTGTATTCATCCATGCCTATTGTGGAATCTGGGCAATACGTCGCCGGCAGAAGCGAAGCGACGCTTGCGAGTATGATTTGGTGCGTCCCACCCTTATGTAATAGCCTAGCGCTACCACAATTAATGTGCACACAGCGTACACATACCATCGAACCGGCTCCCTTTAACCGTCGGGAAGGGGCTTCAACCCACTATACCGACTGCCGGATTGTTCATGTCACCCTCACCGCTTTCGGATTCGTTCATTGCCTTTGCCTAGGTTCGACTCAAACACCTCGCCACGGCGCGGGAGTCTTGAATTGAGACTACCTTTTGCATTCCGCTCTTCACGAAGAGGTGTAGTTTGGGATGTGGCTATGCGTGGCGAACCTCCGCGCAAGCACGTCGACATGGAGGAGTGGGATCGATTTGCGGACGGGCCGTGCGTGCTTGAAGCGCTTGACCCCGAGAACTTGAACAGTAGACAAAGTTGAACAACATTGTGAACTATATAGATGGAATCCTACATCCTACATGCATAGCAAGAACATCGATGGAATGAAACACACTACAACCGGCGTAAATGAAGTACCAAGTACGAGTATAGTGAACAACGAGCATCGGTCAAGGGCTAGGCTGTACCGGACCCAACACTCAGAACGAACTGTCTTCTCACCCACTCTCGGCCTTCCTCATATATCGCGCCACCGCCTAAGAGGCTAGTCCTCACAAGCATTCTAAGCGTCAGCCATGCCCAGCTCGCATTCCCGGTCGTAGCGCCGAGCTTCATAGGGACTCTCCACAAGTTCGAGACGACGTCGCACCAGCGAGACGCGTCGTTATTCTGATCCTTGTGTGCGTCGAGGGACGAGTGCAAGAGCGTGGTGGATACGCGGTTTGCGCGGAGGAACGTCATGGGCAGATCGAGCTTGATCTTTTGCTCCGATATGGCAAGCTTGTCGATGCAAGATGAGAGTATCGCCTTCAGTACATGCGGTGCACGGCCAGGTAGTTGTACGAAACTGAGCAGAACTCCGCCCTGCATTGCCAATACGCCAAGATCGAGACCTATGAGCGAATCAAGATTAGGACTGGTATGAACTAGGATGACAATATAACCACATAGAACGTCCTTCTTCTCCGGAAGACTTCCCACTCCGTCGGACTGACGCCTAGCATCGCGTCCGCGAGGTACTTCGGCATCCACGCGCGCTCGCGTTTCCATTCGTCGGCGCCACTGTGGAGCATGCTGTAGAGCGGCGGTACGTCAGACGTATCGAACTCGGGTCGTCGGACGAGGAAGCGCGGCGTGTGAGGGTATACGGGTGTAGTGATTGGTATCGGAATCGAGCTTGGCGACGTCCTTCAAGGGATCGGGCACATATGTCGCCTGTGAACCTTCTGGCCTATTCAATAGCCTGACCAAACTCGTAAGCCTGGAGCAAAACGAGCAATATTAACATCACTCACGTCGATACGCGCACGCAGCACCGCAAACGCGCGCAGCTCGACATTCTCACTCGACGTACAGCGTATCGCAAGACTAGCAACGTTCGTCCTAAAGAACGCCATATCACAGACGAGCGCCATGACCAAAAGCAATATGACGAACAGCGCCTCGTACACCCCGTTCAAAAGTGAACGGAGCCCCGCCTTATTTCGCGGTCAATACGGTCTCCTTCACGCGCGCAGAGAACGCCAGACATGGGGGGCGAAGAGAAGCGTTCTCGCGCGAGCACATATTTACGGCCCTGGACTGGTCGTGCGAGTCGCGACCTGTCGCCACTCTCTTTCGCACCAGCATGACATCTGTCGTTGGAAGTGGAGCCATCAGCACCTACGACTACAGCGAGGGTATTGTTCGAAATAGGATGTTTAAAATCACGCAGTGCTGGTCTTCATACGGTGAAGCCTCTCGGACTCAGTGTCGGCTTAGTATGAGCGTCTACAAGACATCATCCGGTCCAAACTTCCATCATCGAATCCGTGCCTCTGCCATGAGGACGACAACGACCACTACTTCGCTACCGAACCCGGTCGATTGACAAGCAAGCTGGCTGTAGTGTAAGACAGCGGTTCTTGGGCCGTAGATCGTTATCCTGTGAGGCGGCGCGGCGCTTGCAAGGAGAGACTGGTGCGTCCCACGCCTCATAGCCTCGAGCGCTACCACAACTGACAAGTGCGCACAGCATCCAACTAACCTTCATCTTGGACACACTATCCGTCGACCTCAGGCCCCAGCTCTCGCCGGCCTCGGCTCACGCACGAAATCCTCACTGCCTTCATAAACGTTCATTTCCCTCCTTGGTCCGTCACTCGGATCAGACCAGAGCGCACCTAGTCCGACGTCTTCTCCTGGATTGCCTGGATCGCCTCTGCAACAGCAGAGAGTCCTAGTATCCATCCCGCACTCTACATTCGACATGGCCGGCGGTTCGCAGTTCCGGTACAATGAACATCGCATCTGACGGTGGGATGCTCCGACGGCTCATAGGGTCAGGGTTGAAAGAGGCCGCGCCCGAAGTTAGCACTTCGTAGCAGCCTACTGCGGTTGGAACTTGACATCGACCATGTCTCGTGTATATGCGTTGCATGGCGCGGAGGGACTCCGCTCGAATAGGGCGACGGACCTGATGGCGAGTCAAGCGGCGGCTTGGGCGCTTTCGAGCGTGTTGGGCGGGGATGTGTGAGCTGAGTTGATGGGGATTATTGACTTGAGATTCCCAGACTCTGTGAGGGCTGGGTGGGGGTGCGTAGTTAGTAGAGAGAGCTTCATTGTCATGCAGTAGTGGTAGTGGCAATGCAATATAAATGCGTCAATGCGTCAATAAGTGTTCTAAGAGTTCGATGTCAATCAACAAGTTACACGCTCGTGAAGCAACCGATACAGAGCAAATCCTATCAGGTAAGACTACACGTATCATACGTCATCTATAGCAGACCCAACTCCAAGGTCCCTCACCTCAACTTCTCATATCTCCCGCTCTTCTTCAGAAACTCTACCCCAGCTTGCAAATACTTCGCGAAGTACCGATACTAAGGGTATCGCCTTCAGTGCATGCGGTGCACGGCCGGGTAGTTGCGCTAGCCTGAGCAGGACTCTGCTCCGTAGTGCGAGTACGCCGATATCAAAACCTGTGGGCGAATCAAGTTCAGGACTGGTATGAGGTATAATATGACTATACACATACCCTGTTGTCGTACGAGCAACGCATGGCACCGCAGCCTGCCACTCTCTCCGTACCCGCATCAAGCGGGCACTCCAGAATCCTCACGCTATCGTCCGTTCAAGTATCGATATCGCGTCGAAGGAAGATCTCTGTGCGCTGTGTCCAATCTTGAACTTGAATCCGATGTCGCCAGCTGATTTCCGCCGTAGTCGTAGGGGTACCGATGTTTGTATATAGTATGTGCATTGGCCAACTTCAACACCAGGTGCGGACCGATATGCTCCAGCTGACAGCGCCGATGCCATGATCTGGTTAGCAATATGGCGCGCAGATGGAGCTCGTGCCACGCTCAATCTCATCGTGGGGCGTGCTTGTTCGGACGCTGAGGCGCGCGTGGGATGTGGAAGGCAATGCGGCTGCGGCTAGCGCCAGGACGGTGGACGAGTTGATCACGCTGCACGTGCGGTATCCGGAATTAAACGTCACTGAGTGTAATGCACGCTGTGTAGGGCGAAGTTTGGACGTAGGAGTTGGGTGATGGCTGGATACTGGATAAGCGAGAGGTATATGAGGTGAAGAGGGAGTGGACAACGTACCTTATGCCAGCCCAACCCTCCCTAACGCCCCCCGATCTCCTGGAAAGAACTTATCGCAACGGCCAGATAGCAAGGCGAGATGATATTTCAAGCTTCAAGTGTGGAGGACATGAAAGTTAGAGCAAACGCGCTCACGCAAGACAGGGCAACACGCGTGCGTATTTCACCCACGTGGCGATAGGGGCATCGGGAGCATGTTGATCTCCCTGACGGTCCCGCCGCGGCGCTCGGCATGCTCATCTTGAACCACCATCACGACGTGTTGAGTTATACATACATGGAATAGCAATACTCGTCAAATCTATCCCAACAGATAACCCACTGAAGAGGGTTCTAAACTCTCACCGCTCTGATTGACGGACCTGTGCGATGCACCTCGCCTGGGGTCCGCACTACATCCAACGCGCGCTTCACGCTCAGCCCTGAGTTCGGGCACCTTCAATTGCCTCAATCAAGCCTTGGTATGATACTAATGGATACAATGCTAGCATACGTGAACCGAACCGTACATGCTCGCTAACCCCGAAACAGAACTACATTCCACAGTCGCAAAGCAGCACTCCAGGTCCATCCACATCCCATATCCATACATGAAGATACCAAAACTAATGCATCATTCACGGACCAGAAACTTGAACGCACGAACCCGGATCCCAAAAGCCCTCAAACTCCGAAATGGACGAACGGCGCCCATCGCACGAATGCCGCCTCGCCCACCTTCTCCCGCAGAACATTCGTCGCCGCATGCAGCGCATACGCCGCGCCCGTCTCTCCTTTCCTAAGAGCACCAGAGCTACGCAGAGCTATAAGCTCTTTGTAGTAGGCCTCGACGAGAATGGGCGCGTCAGCGTCGCCAATAGACCACATGGTCGCCACGACGCCCTTAAAGCCGACCGCGAGCATGCCAGCCGCAAGGTGAGCGGCCTCCTCCGGGGCCTTATCGTGACCTACAGCAGTCTGACATGCCGATAGAAATGCGAGCTCCGCATTTTCAGACACGGTGCCCATGAGGTCCGAGAGCGTCAGCGGTTCGTCGTAGAGCTCGAACGCGCTCTTTGTAGCATCTGCTTGGTTTTGCGAGCCGTGGCACGCAAGATGCACCCACGAGTATCGACCGATATCGGTCCGCACAACCGCAGCGCGCGCCTGATCGTCTTCCAGTAGCTCAGTCACGACGTTCGAACTGGCTAAGAACTCCTGCAGCTGACGTCCTTCGGCTCTGGTTCCAGGTAGAGGAGATTGCAGGCGCGGTGTATCAGGCTGACTGATGACCATCGCATTTGGTGGGATCTGGTGACTCGTGGCCGCTTCCTTTCCGTGAAGGAGCGCGGACAACGACGGGGTATATGAGGAAACGACGAACTCGAAGACGCGTGGGCCATACGGTTCGCTGTACACGCCTGCCGCATGTAGAGGCAGTTGGGTAAGCGGCCCAGTTGGGCACCAGATGATGTTCGGTAATTGTTCGCCGTGTGACTGGAGCTGGCTCAGTAAAGCTTAACCGGCATAGGCGTACGAGATATGACTTACAAGACTAGCAAGATCGAGGGCATCCAAGATAGGGCTGACAATCCATGTCCACATACACTCCAGAACATGATGCAGAAGACTCAAGCCCTCCATCCCGTCCGGGTCGACTAGCCCCCGCGCGCGGACCATGCAATCCCTGAGAATCCCGGTCCAAAGCATGGATAGTTCTCTCGCCCGATCAAGCGTGAGGAAAGGCAGCGAAACCGACGTGATCTCGCCACTGGGATATAAACAGAGAGCATCACAGCGGGATTTGTCCACGTTTATGAAGACGACTGGATTGTTCAATAACTTGAATGAAGTTGAGAGCGTGTCGAACGACCTCGGACGTAGAAAGTCTTCAAATCCGGGGCGCGCACGAACTTTCTTCAAGAGGCCGTCGTGCTCGATGGCAAGTGCTCGATGGGCATCGGCTGCACGATTGGTTGCGATCCCGGGAATATCACTGGCTGTAAACGTCTCAGGAGCGAATGAGAGTCTCGCGGATGACTGAAGATCTTGTTGAACACGACGGAGAGATGCCGCAAGTGTGGGATCAAAGTCGTCCACCTCATCAAGTGGTGTGCGCAGCGATAAGACCTGACCCCAGATGAGCGACCTGCCTGCCTCGAGCCACTCCACAGCCAGTGTCAGAGCATTGGCAGCTATAGCTGCAGAGACAGCAGCGTTGATGAATTCGCCCATTTGAGACGATTCGTCGTAGCGTCGCTGGATATCATATCCGAGCCAGACAATCTCCGGAAGAACGGCGATAATGCACGAATGTGCCGACAAGAGTCTGTCTGTAGTGCCAAGAGAGGGGTTTGTAGATAGCAGACGGACACAGTGTAGAGCAGAACGAAGACGAATTGAAGGACTGCCAGATGTTTGTAACGTTGCCTTCATGTAACAGTCAATAGCGTCCGTGTAATCGATCGCAGTGCCACGTAATTGAAGCGAGCCGCCCAGTTTGTTGAGGTAACCTGGCTTGTCGGGGTGGCCATCCGGTGTAAGCTCGACTGTGCGACGATGGGATGAGACGGCCTGCTGGATATCATCGAGCTCCCCAGTGTGCTCAAAGCGTGTGTGTAGCGAGACACCCAGGTAGCTGAGGTAACTTGGCTTGTCGGGGTGGCCATCCGGTGTAAGCTCGACTGTGCGACGATGGGATGCGACGGCCTGCCTGATATCATCGAGCTCCCCAGTGCACTTGAAGCGTACACAAAGCGCACAGCCTAAATTTCCAAAAAACACCGACTTGGCTGGTTGACTATCCGCTGTAAGCTCGACCGCGCGGCGATGCGACGAGACGGCCTGCTCAATATCCTCGAGCTGCCTAGTGCGCCCGAACTGTTTACGAAGCGAGTTGCCTAGATTGTTGAACAGTCCCGGTTTGTCGGGGTGGCCGTCCGGTGTAAGCTCCACTGCGCGACGATGCGACGAGACGGCGGTCTCGATATCATCGAGCTCCCCAGTGCGCTCGAAACGAGCGTGAAAGGAATTTCCGAGGTTGCTCAATCGCGTCGGCTTATCGGGGTGGCCATCCGGTGTAAGCTCGACCGCGCGACGATGCGACAAGACGGCCTGCTCGATATCATCGAGCTCCCCAGTGCGCTTAAAGCGTGTGCGAAACGAGAGGCCCAGGTTGCTGAGTCGCGCTGGCTGATCGGGGTGACCATCCGGTGTAAGCTCGACCGCGCAACAATGCGACGAGACGGCCAGCTCGATATCCTCGAGCTGCCCAGTGCGCCCGAACTGTTCACGAAGCGAGTTGCCTAGATTGTTGAACAGCACCGGCTTGTTGGGGTGACCATCCGGTGTAAGCTCCACTGCGCGACGATGCGACGAGACGGCGGTCTCGATATCATCGAGCTCCCCAGTGCGCTCGAAACGAACGTGAAAGGAATTGCCGAGGTTGCTCAATCGCGTCGGCTTATCGGGGTGGCCATCCGGTGTAAGCTCGGCCGCGCGACGATGCGACGAGACGGCCGCCTCGATATCGTCGAGCTCCCCAGTGCGCGCGAAACGCTTGCTGAAGGAGTTGCCGAGGTTGTTGATTTGTGCCGGCTTGTTGGGGTGACCATCCGGTGTAAGCTCGACCGCCCAACGATGCGACGAGACGGCCTGCTCGATATCATCGAGTTCCCCAGTGCGCTCGAAACGCATGAGAAGCGAGCTGCCCAGGTTGCAAAGTCGCGCTGGCTTGTCGGGGTGGCCATCCGGCGTCAGCTCGACCGCACGACAGATCGCTGTGAAAGCACTATTGATGTCGTCAATTCTCCCGACGCGTCTGTAATACTTGAGGTGCGAAACACCCAGTCGGTGGAGACGCTCAGGCTTGTCAGGATCATTGTCTGGTGTCAGTTCAACAGCCGCTTGAAAGGCAGACATTGCTCCGCTGAAGCCGTCTAGGGAGTGGGTTTGGTTTGAACAGGTCTCAAGCCGAACTCCCAGGTCGAAGTACAGTTGAGAGCGTTCGCTAGGATCTGAGTCTTGGCCGAGCTCTACTGCAAGTTGCGTCACCCTGATAACTTGATTGAGAAGATTGATGTCCGGAGGCTTGCTACGCTGGTAGCGCATCCACATAAACGTCCCGAGCATGCTCGGGTTATCGACCAAGACGGCCTCTACGAAAGCAACCGCGTCGGGGTTACTCATCATGAATGAGATCTTATCGTCCTGATTGTGCATAGACAGTGAGCCATGGGTGTATACTGAGCATGAAAGAACTCATCATGTCGGATTGACTCTTGAGGATGGGCAAGGGGATATCTGCGTGTGGGGATGTGGAAGTGCAGCATAGGTATTAGGTATAAATACCAACCCGCATACACTCGCTGTGCACCTGGCTATGCATAAACGCGCAGAAGGTACGTGTCTCGCACGAGAGTGTATAAAAGGCACGTGAAAACACAGAGGCGCCTAACAACATCGATATGAGCGAGACGCCTAGTAAGAATGAGTACTAGTGCACGGTCATGAGCGTATTCTGCTGTCCTTCTGCAAAGAAAGTGGAATCGAGACCCTCGGAACCGACATACACACCCAGCTTTCGAGCTTTCATTCTGTGAAGTGAGAACCGCTTTGTGATCCGTGGCCATAGTAAGGCAGGTACATGGTGGGCGAAGACAAGCATCCTCGGGCCATCCGCGCGAGCAACACGACCCGGCGCTAACCCGGCGCTCGTGTGGCTTACTTACGCCGCGACTTCTTCCGCACCAGCTTGACCTTCGTCGTTGGAAGGAATACTCAGCCACTACGAATAGAGCGAAGGCGTTGATCGATATGGACAACTTGGAACCACTCAATACTGGCCTCATTTGCTCAAACACTCGCACGCAGGCTCGGTTTATGAGCGTCTACGACACACCGCCCAGCTCAAACGTCCTTTGCAGAAGCCGTGCATCTGCCATGAGGGCAGCGGCAATCTGCACCCCACATTATACTTCAAAACGTCGGTTGAAGCGTGTTGGCTATACTCTGAAGTGGCGGGTTCATGAGTGCTATGTAGCCGGCTGAGGGAAGGCGGTGCCTGCGAGTATAGTCTGGTGCGCCCTGCACATCACAGCCTCGAGCGCTACCTCAACTGATATGCACATAGCATACACATGCCTTTCAACCCAGCTCCCTCTATCCTTAACCCAGGGTCTCAACCCATTATACCGACTCCAGGCTCGATCATGTAAATCACCGTTTTCGACTTCGCTCATTCCCCTTGCTTTCGTCTCTTCACGAAGAATCATAGCTTAAGAATATGGTCATGCATGCAGCACCTGCCCGAATGCGTGTGGTCAAGCGGCAGAGGAAGCCGATTAGCAGACGGAGACACAGTGCGGGAAGCATTGCACCGGAAACAAGTAGACAGAGAACACCGAAGATATTGTAAGTTAGATGAATGATACCCTACACCGCGCATGTATAGGACTACAACCAATGCAAATGAAGATTCAAGTACGATTACACTCAACAACGGGCATCGGAAAAGGGCTAGGCGGTACCAGACTCAACGCTCGCAACGACCTGTCTTCTCACCCACTCGCCTTCCTCATCTCTCGCGCCACCGCCTAGCAGGCTGGTCCTCGCAAGCATTCTAGGCGTCAGCCGCGCCCAGCTCGCGTTCCCGGTCGTAGCGCCGAGCGTCATAGAGACACTCCATAAGTTCGAGACGACGTCGCACCAGCGGGACACGTCGTCGTCCTCATTCTCGTTGTGCGCATCGAGAGACGAATGCAAGAGCATGGTGGGCGCGCGGTTTGTGCGGAAGGACGTCATGGGTAGCTCGAGCTTGATCTTTTGCTCGGATATAGCAAGTTTGTCGACGCAAGATGAGAGTATCGCCTCCAGCGCATGCGGTGCACGACCGGGTAGTTGTGTTAGTCGGAGCAGTACTCGGCTCTGTAGGACGAGTACGCCGAGATCGAGACCTATGAGCAATTCAAGGTCAGGAATGGTATGAACTAGGATGATCATACACATACCCTGCTGTCGTACGAGCAACGCAAGACACCGCCCAAGCGCAGCCCTCCACTCTCCCCCCGTAGCCGCATCAAGCTTCCCCACATCCGCCACCATAAGCACATTCTCCAACACAGCCAACCACACCCTCTCCAGCCCTCCCTGCGCCTCAGCCAACAGCACCATCTCCGCCCACGCCAACAGCCCCGACTTGAGTATCAAGCTCGTCACGATATGCCGGCCGGCTGTTAGATTGACGAGAACGTCGAGCACGCCGGCGCGCACGGCGCGGTCGTTCTGCCACAGACTCGCGAGCAGATCCCATGTGCGTCGTCGGCGGAAAACTTCCCACTCGGCCTGGCCCGCGCCTAGCATCGCGTCCGCGAGGTACTTCAACATCCACGCGCGCTCGCGCTTCCACTCATCGGCGCCGCTGTGCAGCATGCTGTAGAGCAGCGGCACGTCGGACGTATCGAGCTCGGGCCGTTGCAGGAGGAAGCGCGATGTGAGGGGGTAGATGAAGTTGGCGGGGAAGAAGATGGCGCGGAGCGCGTGCGCGAGAAGGAGGGTCGTGAAAGCGTTTATGCGAGTGTAATGCTCGGTATCGGGATCGAGCTTGACGGCGTCTTTCAAGAGATCGAGCACGTATTTCGCCTGTGGTCCTTCCTGCATATCGACGGCCTGAACACACCATACTCGTAAGCCTCAAAACATACGAGTAAAGATAACACAACTCACATCCATACGCCTCCGCACCGCCGCCAAACACCCCACCGCCACCCCGCGCATCTCCCCATCCTCGCTCGACAAACACCTTATCGCAACACACACAACGTTCGTCCTAAAGAACGCGACCCACTCGAGCGCACTCCTCGGCATATCGCCCACAAGCGCCTGGCCCAAAAGCGCCACGACGAACGCCGGCTCGTACACCTGTTCCGCAGCGAACGGCGCGCCGCCCTCTCCCGCCGCGAACACCGTCTCCTTCGCGCGCGCGGGGAACGCCAGACACGTCCGGAAGACCTGGCTCGCGTCCAGCCCGAGCAGAACCTGCAAACACGTCCCGCCCGCCCTGTCCGCCGCCGACCGCTGGCCAAAGAGCGGCGCAACGGACACCTTGCGCGTCTCCTCGTACAGCCTGAATATCCCGAAGATACGCCGGTCGGACGGGCTTCGCGAGCCGGTGTAGGCGGGTACGAGCGGCTGGATGTGGCTCGGTTGACAGGTGTTGGAGGGGTGGAGGTGGAAGAGGGTGTGTGTGAGGTTGACGAGGGATCGGCGTGAGGGAGACGAGGATGCGATGTGGCGGTAGAAGTCGGCGTGTTGCACAATAGACTGAATATGCCGGTTCACGATGACGGGCTGAAAGCAACATCAGCATCAAGCACCATGTGAACAACACAACAACCGCGCACCTTCATCTGCGCGCGCCCGACCAAGCCCTCGACAAAGTCCAACGCGCCACCATCGTCCATCCTATTCTGCACGACCGCAGCGAGCACCACATCCACCAAATGCGCCTTCACGGGTACACGCGTCCCCAATCTCCCCAGCGCGCTCAGAACCGAGCCGTCAAGAGCCTGCGGAGAAGCCAAAGCGTGCGCCGCCCATCGTAGCCCGTGATCCAACACAGCCGCACACGCCTCGCCCGCCTCTCCATCTTGTGCGTCGCACCACCGTTCGGCGAAGTACACCAGCCCCGCCGGCAAGCTCTTCTTCGAAAGCCTCCCGATCCGACCGCTAAGCGCCCGCGCGAACTCCGCTTCAAGCGCCGGGAACCGCCTCGTAATAAGCGCCAACGTATCCTGCGTATCCTCCACATCGAGTATGCGTCCAAAGTGCTTTACGACGCGCTCGTCTCCAATGCTCATATCGGAGGAAGACTCGTCGCTCGAATCGAGAACCGCGTGCAAAAGCTTCGCAAGGTACACCCCTTCGACCTCCTCCGCCCGCGCACTCCCCACGAACCGCCCAACCGCCCCCCGCGCTCCGGCGTCCAAATACGCCATACACTCCAGAATCGCCACGCTCTCGTCCGTCCATGTATGCGGTTCGCGGCGGAGGAAGATCTCGGCACTCTGTGTCCAGTCTCGAACGGCGGTTCGATTGCGCCAGCGGTTCTCGGCCGTGCTCGCAAGTGCACCGATCGTTGTGGTCTGCGTGTTCTCCAGCTCAAAATGTGCTTGAAGAGGGCCGGTGAGACCGGACGGTACGCACGCCGACAAAGCCGACGCGATGACCTGCTCAACAACGTCCATATCCGGATACCTTACATGCAACCCGATCAGCTCTTCGACCGTCCTCGCATCAACCGCACCCGCATCCACACTCAACGCGCGCCTAAGCGTCCTAACCAGCACCCCCGCAAACTCTTTCGCCTCCTCCTCGTCCCCCGGCGGAGCGCGCACGAGTAAGCTAAGTATAGCGCGCGCCTCGTCCGCGCGCATATACGGCGCGAAGACGCGCGTCATACCGTCGAGCGCGCCGCGCGCCGTGAAGGGCGCGAGGAGCGCGGTGTCGGCGGGCGAGCGGGGGGAGAGGGTCGTGGCGAGGAGCTCGGTCAAGGCTGTTTTGCAGTATCAGTACGAGTGATTGAGATTGAGATGTGATTTGAAGAGTGAAGTGGAAGAAGACGTACCGTGACGGACTCGAGCACCGGGTGTACCGCCCAACAAAGCTCTTACACCCCCCTTCTCGAACAACGCCACCTTCCACCCCTCCCTCTCCTCCACCCCCGCCAATATCGCACTCAGCAGCAAAACCAAATCGGCCACCTCATCCTCCTCTCCGCCCTCTCTCCCTCTCCTCAACACGTCCAACCGATGGCATATAAGATTCAGAGCCCGCTCCGGCTCTCCGCGCGCAGCCCGCGCCATCCGCGCCCGATGCTTCTCATCGCGCACCAGCGCCTTCGTCGCATGAACGAACATAACGCCGAACGGCGCCGTACCCCCAATATCATCGCCCACGTCCTCCCAAAAAGTTTTGCGCGACAACGGCGAGCGCTCGAGCGGCACCGCGTCCCACATCTCCCGCACGACCTCTCCCCCACTCCCCGCATGGGCGACGATAAGCCGCACAACCCTTCCAAGCTCACGCGCCCCGAGCGGCGAGCGCAAAAGACGAAGCCAGTGCACGAGCTCGGACGGGTCGATATCGGATGCGGGGAGGGATTCGACGGTGGTTAGGAACTGCCGGACGGCTGTCGTTTGTTCTTCGTCTTCGTCCTCTTCGTCTTGAGTTTGGTCGGCCTCGGGGCGCGCATGGCCGATGAGCTCCGCGCATCTCGCTGCCCTTTGTGCTTCTCTCTTCGCGGCCCTTCTCACCGCCTCCCCCTCCTCCCCCTCTCCCTCTGTCTCCTCCACCGGCCGCATCTGTTCGAACGCACCCGCAATCGCCCTCCCCACCCTCTCAAGCGCATTTAAACTGCGTCCCCTTGCCGCAAGCTCAAACACGACCCCCCTCGCGTACGTCGCGAGCGCGAGCATATCCGATGCGCTGAGGAGTTTACCGGAGATCTTCGCGCGGAGCTGTTCGATGAGGGTTGCGAGGAGCGGGGTGAGGTTTTCTTCTTCCTCTCCTCCTCCCCCTTCTTCCTCCTCTGGACTGTGGTGCTCGCCGGGCTCGCGGTGTAACAGTGCAGCGAGATCGTCCATGTACCGATACGGCGTCTTCAGCGCCCGCATCACGCACTCGTCCAAGAACGCCGCCACAGCCGCGCGCTCATCCTTCAACCCCCCTCCCCCTCCGTCCTCCCCTGCCTCTTCATCTCCCTCCCCTCCTACATCCCCACCCACTTCCTTACGCCCCCGCCTGGGAATCGCATCAAGCCAAGCCCCCACCTCATCCTCATCCCCATGCTCCGATCGTAGATGCTGATGCTGGAACAACGAAGACTGCCCCAGCAGCTTCGTCACAAGCCCCCGTGCCGCGGCGCGCAGAGCCGGTGTAGGCGTGGTGGTGTACAGCGTGAGGAGCGTGTGGAGGTGCGAGCGGCCGGCTATTCAAGTTCCCACACTACATTAGCATATGCTGTACTTCTTGATATGGAATGAGAGGGGGAGAGAGACGCACCGATCTTGCCCGTCCACACAAAATCGTCCGTCTCGTGTAACAGCCGGAGCGTATGCAGCTGCGTGAGCACGCCCAGCCCGCCCGCGCCTCCCTCCGCATCCTCAGCACTCGAGATGGGGGTTGAGGTTGAGGGTGGGGTAGTGAACCGCGCCATAAGCTTGCCCGCGTCGAACCGCGTCTCGGCGATAAGATGCGGGAGCGCGGCGTGGTAGAGCCACAGGAGCCGTGCAGCGGCTTCGGAAAGCAGCGCGTCGCGCGCGGGGTTGGGCGCCGCCTTCCCCGCCTCCCCATCC